AGCGGACACTATGAGAAAGCAGGTAAATCCACAAAGTGGGACTTCTAAAGACAAGTGAGCAGGTTTCTGCAACAAACTATTGTTGTTAGGTACCGCTGAGTCACTTCCAACCCATACAGACCCGGTGCACAACAGAACAAAACACTGCACCATCCTCATAATTGTTGGGTTTCAGCCCATTATTGCTGCCACTGTGTCAGTCCATCTCATTGGGGGTCTTCCATTTTTTCACTGGTCCTCCACTTTACCAAGCATGACGTCTTTCTCCAGGGACTGGTTCCTCCTGACAATATGTCTAAAGTACAAGAGACGAAGTGTCACCATCCTGTCTTCTAAGAAGTATCATGGCTGTACTTCTTCCAAGACAGATCTGTGTATTTTTCTGGCAGTCCATGGTATTTTCAGTACTCTTTGCAACAAGTCAATGTCATGAATATAGACATACTTTGGAGATATTACAGGTGACGTTCCAGACCACTGCAGTAAAGCAAATACCACAATAAAATGAGTGCTACATTTTTTGGTTGCCTAGGTATGGCCCTGTAGGATAAACACTCGAGTGCAAGGTCAGAATGAACCACAAGGTTGGTGGTTCAAACTCACTAGCCGCTTCTCAGAAACCCTCTACAGGGTGGCTATGGGTTGGGACTGATGTGACGGCACTTATAAAACAACAGCAAGTCTATTAAAGAAGCTTTGGTGGTACTGTGGGTTAGGTGTTACGCTGTTGGCAGTTCAAATCCACCAACTGCTCAGCCAGGAGTGGCGCACATCCGTTGGACCTTGAGAACCCTGCACATTGAGCCTCCTTGATTCAGGAACACACAACTGTGACACCAGAGAAGCAGCAGCATCAGAACCAGGAGCCAGAGCCCCAGCAAGAACAGGAACGCTGATGTCTTCAGGCGGGAGGCTCATGTGTGGAGTATGGCACATTCAGGAACTTAACTGGGGAACCAAGTTTGCTGACCCACCGAGCAGAAGCTTAGTGCCTTTGGGCTGAGGCTTATGAAGAATGGCGTGTCCTTTGGGTATTTGCTGTTGTTAAGTGGCTTTGAGTCGGTTCTGACTCACAGCGACCTTGCATAGAGTTTCTGAAGAGCGGCTTGGTGGGTTTGAGCTGCTAACCTTGTGGTTCAAACTGACCTTTTGGTTCGGTGCATATTCCTGCAGCACCACGCCAGTCTTAAAAGAGCTTGGCAACATTGCTAAGCAGGGCAGAGGCTAGGCCAAGGGGCCAAGGGCCAGAGAGAGGTCTGCCTGTGGGCGTCACTGAGAGGCTGCCTTGCCAACAAGAACTGTGCATTTTTGGAGCCTGCATTCTAATCTGTCTACTTCCCTAAGAAGTCCTGTAACTATGACTACGCTGTCTACGTTCTGTGTCCCAACTGCCATGACTTATTGAACCCAGCTGAGTCGAGGGTGCGGCGAGAGTGATGGTTGGTGTTCAATTTGGTAGAGGAAGCACCCTAGGAATCCGCCCTGGGCTGATGCCGATATGGTGATTCTTGTCTGTTGGGTTTCAGGCCCAGAAGGGCAAAGCCTCCTTCATCCATTAGGTGCCAAAGACTGAAAAAACTACCTGAACTCATTCTGGGAGACATTAGTTTATGACAAAAAACAAAATAAGATGGCTTACAAGCAAGAATTTACCTACAAAGGGCAAAACACAGCTGTGTCCAGTGGTGGCCGGCTGGAGAGTGATTTTCTGCGCGAGGGGTAGGGCCAGGGTCTTTTTATATCACACGCATCAGGGCAGTAAGGGTAGTATTTGGAACTACGATTGGTAGGAAAGTCACAAGGTAGGGGACTAGCTTGTCTGTCCCTTCCAGGAGAACAAAGAGTTTTGAGTGGGTGGAGGAGGCTGTCTGCCCTTTTCCAGATAGCAGGAGCAGGGGGAAGTGATACGAGATATGATATGGTTTGAGATGACTTTGGCATGGCCATTTTAGAGCGTCAAGTGTGTGTCACTACATCATCCTTCCCCCTTGTGAAGTCAGAAGCGGTCAGACATTGACTCCATTTTCCTTTTTTTTTTTTTACAGATGATATTAATTGATTTTGTCAGATGTAAAAAATGACATAGTGGTTGTCTAAGAGATCTATTTATTTAGAGCTGTATACTGGGATGTAGAAGGCCAGATGACATAAAGTCTGGGATTTGATTTAAAATTCTGCAGCAGCAGAAGACATAAAACCAATGTGATGAGGCCTTGATGGCTGTTGGATCTGCCTGCATGATGGAACATGAGAGTTTACTGTTCCTGTCGCTTCACCCTTGAGAATGTCAGAAGCTTTTCATACTAACAAAACTGAAAGGGATAATGCATGTGAGAGAGTAATATTAGTCTCGCTTCTTCCCAGGAGCATAGATTTAAAACTTGTGGGTGGAAGTAAAAATCCCCGTGGTGTTTTATTAAAAGCACCCTCCCGGGACTTGTTCTTTTAAGGAACCACCTAAATTACCCTCAGAGCTCAGTATGTAGGCCACACCACCACCAGGGATCAGGCTCCTGAGTGAGGAATTAAAAACTCAAATCACAACTCAGTCACAGCTAGACACTCAGCAAGAGCAAATATTTGAGGTGCATTTTTCCCCCCTCTCTCTCAAGTGGGGAATTACTTTCGATCTATTAAAAAGAAACTCTCAAAGAGGCAGCTGCAATTCTGTGCAAAGAGAAAAGGCTTCTGCTCCTGAAGAAACCAACAAAGACCTGATTCAGTCCTCAGGGCAGGACTTTGAACCATTCATTCCGGTTTGACCCTCTATTGAGTACTTGCCTTTCCACTTCAGATAGTCCTGGTGTGGCGCTGTGGGTTAATGCTTCCGACTGCAGAGTCATTTGAACTGCGAGATCAGGGGTTCAAGCTTACCAGCTGCTTCTCAGAAACCCTATACAGGGTTGCTATGGGTCGGATCCGACTCGACGGCACTTAACAACTCCAGAAATACTATACTGCTCTATGGTAAGAACTGGACTTTGAATCACAAAGTCAGCAGTTGGAGCCCACCAGCCATTCCTTCCACAGGACAAAGATGAGGCTTTTTGCTCCTGCAAAAAGATGCTGTAGTTAGGTGCTATTGAGTCAGTTCTGACTCATAGTGATCCTATGCACAAAACCATGCCTGGTCCTGAGCCATCCTTACAATTTTTGTTACGCTTGATTCCATTGCTGCTTTCACTGGGCTAATCCATGTCGGGGGTTTTTTTCTGCTGACCTTCCACTTTACAAAGCATTATGACCTCCAAGGTAGAAGTATGCAAGTATAAAGCTCACCTTCCTATCTTCTAAGGAGCATTCTGGTTGTACTTCTTCCAACACAGATTTGTTTGTTCTTTTAGCTGTCCATGGTACTTTTAATATTCTTCTCCAACACCATAACTCAAATGCATCAATTCTTCTAAGGTCTTCCTTATTCACTGTCCAACTTTCAACATGTATATGAGACAACTGAAAATACCATGGCTGGGGTCAGGCAAACCTCAGTCCTCAAGCTGACATCTTTGCCCTTCAACACTTTAAAGAGGTCTTGTGCAGCAGATTTTGCCCAAAGCAATAAGTCGTTTGATTTCTAGACTGCTACTTGCATAAATGTTGATAATGGATCTAATCAAAGTGGACTCTGACAACTTCAGTCTTTTCTCCATTTATCATGAAGTTACTTATTGCTCTAAGTTGAGGATTTTTCTTTTCTTTCCATTAAGATACAAACCATACTGAAGGCTGTGGTCTTTGAGCTTCATCAGTAAGGATAGCCTCGGTATTCCTATAAAGTCGCTATGAGTCGGAACCGATTCAATGCAATTAACAACAACAAATAACCTCAAAGTCAGCAGTTCAAACCCACCAGTAGCTCCTCAGAGCCTAACATTACAGAGAACGTACGTGTGGAAAGTGAGAAGGAAGTAAAATCATATCTAATGCTATTACTGTTGGGTCCACAGAGTTTTCCACAGCTTGTGTCGGCTCCTGTGCACAATGGGAAGGAAATCCTACCCAATCCCACCCGTTCTTGGTTTCCATTGGCTGGTTTTCAGAAGCAGATTGGCAAACTGTTCAGCATTATAGCAACCCATAAGCCTCCCATTCCACTTACAGACAGGTATTGGCTATGAATGAGGAGCATTAGCCAGGAATTGAACTTGGGTCTCCTGCATGACAGGCAAGGATTCTATCACTGCCCCCCACACCTCTTCCTAATCCATGGCAGTAGATTCTATTCCAACTCATAGTGACCCCGTAGGATAGAGTAGAACTGCCCCATAGGATTTCCAAGGCTGTGATGCTTTTGAGTTATGGTGTTGGAGGAGAATATTGAAAGTGCCATGGGTCACTATGAGTAGGTACCGACTGGAAGGCACCCAACAACAACAACAACAAATCCTTATGGGAGCAGACTGCCTCATCGTTCTCGCTCGGAGTGCTTGGTGGGTTTGAACCAATGACCGTCTTGCAGTTAGCAGCCCAACACTCAACCCATTGTGCCAGCATGGCTTCTTGTCTAACCTTACAACCACAAATATTTTTAGCATTTAGCTGACTTTCCTTTCAGTCTTAAGAACGTAAATGTGTCTCAAACATGCATTACCGCTGGGAGACATATTTCTTCAGAAACTACACTTGTCATTTTGTCATTACTGAGCACTTTCTCGTGTCAGCAAATGTCCTAACAAAACGTTGGAGATTGAGACTACTTCTTTGGATGAGTGCACGGCCCATGCTTCCCTTCAGCAGCCCTTTTCTGATGGACACTTGGTTTTCAACATTTGACCGACATTTAAGTGCTCGGTAGAATTTGGCCAGTAGTCCCAGTCCGGCGTTAGCGGTCAGCCAACAGGGGACGTGGTTACAGAGTCTGAGGGGGCGGGGCACTCGGGCTCTGTGACAGCATCCAGAAGCCACGCCTCCCAAGAGGAGCCAATCGAAGCTCGGGGGCAGGGCCACTTGGTCTTTCCATCCTTAAGGCGCGTGCTCGCGCACGCGGGAGGCCGGCGGCTATGGACCCAGGCGCGGGCCCGGCGCTTCCTCGCGCCCCGGCTCGGGCCCTGCAGCCGGCCCCAGAGGCGCGGCCATCGGCGGGCTCCGAGGAGGAGCTTTTTGACTGCCTCGACTACTACTACCTGCGCGACTTCCCTGCCTGCGGTGCCGGTCGCAGCAAGGGCCGGACGCGCCGCGAGCGAGAGCTGCGCACCAACCGGCCGGTGCCCGGTGGCCACGAGCGCAAGATCGCGCAGAAGCTCCTCAACGGTCAGCGCAAGCGGCGTCAGCGCCAACTGCAAGCCCGGCCACGTACTCGCCTAGCCTGAGTGCCGGTGCGTGCGACCGGGGCCTGCGAGGGACTCCACTTCTGGCAGAACGCCCCTGTCCGGGGCAAAGCCTTAGCTGTGGTGCCCCCTCCACTCCCATCCTATCCACGGGCTGCCAGTTGGAGAGTCAAAACTCTACCTTTTGGAATTTTGTGTATAGATCCCTGACTGGTGAAAACAGTTTCAGGTGGAGCCCCATCTGCAGTACCACGGAAGAAAGGCTTGGCTAATCTGCTTCGGTTAATTGTTATTTTCTGTCAAGTCAATTCCGACTCATAGTAACTCCCCAAGATGACAAGCTGTCGTCTTGTCTTGTGGAGTTACTGAAGGGAAGCATGGGCCATTTTCTAGGGTGAAAACCTTTACAGGAGCAGATCAGCAGCAGGCCATTTCTCCTGAGGAGCAGCTGATGGGTTCAAACCGCCTGCTTTTTGGTTCACAACTGAGCACTTTAACCACTGCGCCAGCAGGGCTCCTCTGTTCAAATGAAAGTCAAGCAAACCCTATGAAACACTTCTGCTTTGTAACAATGGGGCGACCTAACAAGATGTTTTAGAAAACATCTTTTAAAGATAGAAGTAGATAATCAATCTCAGACTATATAGAGAATAACTGATTTCTTGTTTTTGTCTGGTTTTCTACAGGATCCCGGAAGGACCTATTAAAAAAAAGTCTTTTCTCTGACTCCAGCTGTAACTGTGGATCCAAGCGAGGGGAAATTCCATGTTGGTCAAAACAAAACTTCTTTTCAGCATGGCTTAAGTTGGCGTCCCCAGTAGCTCTCCTTACTAACTGGCAGTTAATTAAGTAGTGTGTATGCCTTTTTAGGTTTCTTAATTAAAGGAGAGCAGTAAGAATGGCATCTTAACACTTGTGTCTTTGTTAGTCACATGGTAACTTGTTCTTGATTCAAGGCCACAAATTATTTCTTGAGGTTTTGTCTGTAAAAATGACATCCCAGAGGTGAGTAAGCATCATCCGTAATCAAGCAGGTAAAAGAAAGATAGGAACCCAGGTGTCATAGTTGGTTGCTGTTGTTAAGGCCATATACTGCCGTTCCAATTCAGGAGCTCTGGTAGCATAGTGCTTATGAGTCAGGCTGCTAACCTCAAAGTCAGCAGTTCAAAACTACCAGTCGTCTGCTCCTGTAAAGATTTACAGCCTCGGTACCCAGCCACGACGATAGGGTTTCCAAAGCTGTAAATCTTTGCAAGAACAGAAAGCCTTGTCTTTGTCCCGTGGAGTGGTTGGTAGGTTCAAAGCACCAACCTTGTGATTCGCATTTCAGTGGTTATTCTACGGCGCTAAGGCACTTAGTTGCCAGAACAGAAATACTTTCAATTATAACAGTTGCTATTATGTTTTCTGCACTGTTGATCTTCATAATCATTTGAGGTAGATGTGGCTCTCGTTTTAGAGGGGATTCTGAGGCACTGAAAGTTCAAGAGGTCACACAGCAAGCAAATGGGAACCACAGAGAGGAAGCTGCATAATGGCTGTTGCATGGAAGGGATTGATCATTGAGATGAAACAAAGTATATGATTTGTTGAATGTAAATCTTGTCACTGAGTTCATGTAAATGTAAATCTTGTCACTGAATTCACAATAAAAAGTTAAAAAAAAAAAAAGCCCAGATTCCATATTTGTTGCTAAGTGCTATAGTTGTTGTTGTTATATGCCATGGAGTCAGTTCCGACTCATAGTGACCCTGTACAGGGTTTCTGAGGCTGTAAATCTTTACAGGAGCAGAAAGCCTCATCTTTCTCCCAAGGAACAGCTGGTAGTTTCAAACTGCTGACCTTGTGGTTCGCAGCCCAATTCATAACCACTACACTACCAGAGCTGTAGAGTGGGTTTCAAGTCATAGCAACCCTGTATAGGGTTTCTAAGGAGTGGCTGGTAAGTTTGAACCACCAACCTTGAGGTTCAAACCAACCTGGTGGTCCACACCAGAACTCCTAGATTGCTTATATTGTCCTCGAAATCTCTGGGATTTTCTTTTGTTTCCCTATACCTGGTTCTGTGACATACATCTTTGTCCTTCAGTGTCACCACAATAAGAGACGTATTGCACGGGGCAAATCTGCTGCACAAGACCTTTTTAAAGTGTTGAAGAGCAAAGATGCCAACTTGAGGACTAAGGTGCACCTGACCCAAGCCATGGTATTTTCAATAACCTCATATGCATGTGAAAGCTGGACAGTGAATAAGGAAGACCATAGGAGAATTGATGCTTTTGAGTTATGGTGTTGGAGAATATTGAAAAGTGCCATGGGCTGCCAAAAGAACAAACAGATCCGTGTTGGAAGCAGTGCACCAGAGTGCTCCTTGGAGGCCAGGATGGCCAAACTTCGTCTCTCATACTTCAGACATATTGTCAGGAAGGACCAGTCGCTGGAGAAGGATATCATGTTTGTTAAGGTGGAGGGTCAGAGAAAAAGAGGAAGACCCCCAGCAAGGTGGATGGGCAAAGTGGCAGCATCATTGGGCTCATGCGTGGCAACAATTGTGAGGTTGGCCCAGGATCGGGCAGTGTTTTGTTCTGTTGTACATAGGGTCACTAAGGAGCTCTGGTAGCATAGTAGTTACGAATCGGACTGCTAACCGCAAAGTTGGTAGTTCGAAACTACCATCTGTTCTGCAGGAGAAGGATGAGGCTTTCTGCTCCCGTAAAGATTTACAGCCTCGGAAACCCTGTGCAGGGTCACTACTGAGTCGAAACCGACTTAACAACACAGTACTTAACAACAACATAGGGTCGCTATGAGTCGGTATCGACTGGATGGCATCAAACCACAACTATCCCAACCCAGAAAACAAATCACATACACGAAAGAAGTTGAAATGTATAGTGATATGTTGCTGTATTGTCTAAATTTAACTTTTGTTGACCATCCATAGACATGAAAGAGAAACAGAAAATTAACCAATCCAGCTGTCGATTCCTGCTTATTTTGCATTCTACATTGTGCTTAACACTGAGAAAGGTTCAGTATGTTGAACAAAGTGGAATGGCAGTTAAGTCGGCGAGCTGACTCACTTTCAAGGTTGTATTAACCCACACGTTAGTAATACAAACGTTTGAAAAAAACAGCGCGGCCCTCCTATTGCCCTAGGAAGCAAATTGCTAACGGTTCTGACTCACCCTAGAATTGGAGAACAAGGTTTGCTAAGCAACCACAGGAACTTCCGGTTTTCTCAACTCTGACGCCGAGTTCATGACGGCAATCGCGTGCGACAAGGCGCTCCCGTTTACGTCCTTCCCTGTGACCTTCATGTTCTGAATCGAAGGCCGCTTGCTATACACTGATTGGTCGCACGTTGAGACCGGCCCCACCTCCGTCTTCTCCCCTGTGTCTCAGCTGAAGTCGCTCAGCTCAGACCTCAGCGTTTCTCGTATCCAGAATCCCCCAGTCGCGAAGTGAAGATGCCGCGTGGAAGTCGGAGCCGCACTTCCCGGGTGGCCCCTCCGGCCAGGTGAGACCAGCAATGGGGTCTGGGACCGAGATCGTGGGTGTCGGTCGCCGAGACGCCGAAAAGGCCACATTAGGCCTCGGGCCGCCCGGCGTTGGATAGGGGTGGTCTCTGGCGGTGCGTTCGAAACCGGCTTCGGCCTGGCAGGCTGGTGGCGAGCAGACTCACCCCACTTTAGGTTCCACTTCCTGTTAGTAACACTCCGCATCTTAGAATATCCGTGGATTATGAAAATATTTTTGAGTAAAAACTCGTTTTAAGTACATTGACAGGCAGGCAAGTGGTAGAAAATGACCTTTTGTGAAGGGAAACTAACCGAAACGTTGAAAACGGGTGGGAGGAAAAATGCGCAACGAGAGTGGCGTAACGGGGGAAAGTGATAGCGCCGAGTTCCTGGCACGTGTCGTGACGAGGCAGCCTCGTGGCCCACGGGGGCTCATAAAATACTAATACAACGTGTTGTAGGTTGCATCTCGCGATAATCGCAGCCCCGCAATGGTAATCCCGTTTTACAGAAATGGGAAACTGGAGGTTTGGAGTAAGTGTACCAGGGCGTCCCTGTTGCCATTAGGTAAGGAGGCCAGGTCCCTGACCCAGATGTTTCCGATTACAAATTAAGGGCAGTGAGCACAGTTCCACGTTGCTTCTGTAGACACACAGTGGGCCACGCCATCACCAGAGGCTACTTGGTAGTAAGTTAAGTCACACACAACCTTTTGAGCAAGCCCTAGTTTTTTTTTTTTTTTTTTAAGGAAATAGGGCAACTTTGTTTTTGTTTTAAGTAGACAGATTTTTGTCTCAACAGCTCCATCCCTAGGATCTAGAATATGACGCATATTGCCGTTAGGTGATGTCAAGGTAGCTCTAAGGGACCCAAAGCACAACAGAAGGAAATAATACCTGGCTTGTGCCAACGTTTGGGCCCGTTGTTTTGCCACTGTGTTGTTAATAATCAATGTTTTCAGCTGTTTCTTATTCTGAGTCATTCCTATGACTCAAAATGAAGGTTTCAGAAGCTTTGCTCTATCCACATCAGTAAGGTCAACTCTAAGAAGACAGCTCTTCCTCCTTATACGGAGTTGTTAAGTGCTATCAAGTCAGTTCTGACCCATGTTGTTAAGTACCGTGGAGTCGGTCCTGACTCATAACGACCCTGTACGGGGTTTGCGAGGCTGTAAATCTTTACGAGAGCAGAAAGCCTCATCTTTCTTCCTCGAACCGCTAGTAATTGGAACATTTTTTAATGAGGTAAGAGGCTATAAGAATACATGGGAATTATTCCCCGCCCCCCCCCCAAAAAAAAAAAGACAACACATTAGTGGTCTATATGTAGTTGCAACTTTAATAATGAAAAGTTAGGAAAAGTGATTTCGTTTAGGGAAGTGTCCTGTAAAGTTTCTTGTGAGCATATAAGTGTCTGTGCTCAGTCATTTAAAGCAAAGACCTTGGGAATTGTGTTAAAGTAGAACAATTTCCAGACCTGTCTGCCAACGACACTGAATTCATTTTGTTCTCCTGTCCCAGCCGGGCACCTCAGATGAGAGCTGCCCCCAGGCCAGCCCCAGCTGCTCACCCACCAGCAGCGGCCCCACCATCAGCAGTGGGCTCACCCGCTGCTGCCCCCAGGCAGCCAGGTCTGATGGCCCAGATGGCAACCACAGCGGCTGGTGTGGCCGTAGGCTCTGCTGTCGGGCACACGCTGGGCCATGCCATCACCGGAGGCTTCAGTGGAGGAAGTCAAGCTGAGCCTGCAGCAAGGCCTGACATCACTTACCAGGTACCATTTCAGCCCTGGTTCCCTCTACAAACCACACTTGGCAGTTGACTTCGGGCATTTGTCCAGCAGCACCTGCCTCAGGTGTGGAACTGTGGCAGTCCAACCTGATTCTCTATAAAACATTCCTTTCCCCATTATTTAAATATTTTGCCTCAGGTACTAACCCAGTCTCATTCTTGGTGATGTGTTGTTCGAAGCTCTCAGCTATTTACCCTTGGCTCTTTCTTTGGGGAATGTGACATTTTTTCCTTTAATGAGCTTTGGTGTCTATTCTATTGTGTTTCTGAGTTTTTGAAACTCATGGGTTTTTCTTTGATGGTCCTAGTTTTCCCTCCCTGAAGTTTTGCAGAAGCATTTAGTCTCAAGATGCCCAGAGAGCTATTTTACCATGTCTTTGTTTTGTAAAAATTTCTGATAATGACTGAAATTTTGTTAAAGCTAATTTGCTTTCTAGCATTAAAATGGCTTGTTTTCCATATTACCAGTTGGAAACTTTAGTCTACATTTGACTCTAGGCTTAGTTTTCCATTTGCCCCCCAAAAATGACAGATGCTCTTCTTGCAGGTATAAATCTGACTTCCTTTTTCACTGGTCTTTGCAGGAACCTCAGGGCGCCCAGCCAGCATACCAGCAGCAGCAGCAGCAGTTTGGCCCTTGCCACTATGAGATGAAACAATTTTTGGAGTGTGCCCAGAACCAGGGTGACCTCAAGCTCTGTGAGGGGTTCAGTGAGGTGCTGAAGCAATGCCGATTTGCAAATGGTAGGGCATCTTTCCACCCAGAATACCTTCTCTGAGCAGTATTCTGAGTCTGGTTCATCCAAAAGCTGATCCAGTCATTGTGCCAGATCTTGTGGTTAACCCATGGGGGCTTTCATGGCGCTAGGGCTGGGGATCCAAAATTACATTCTTACCAAAGCCAAGTCATGAAACTTTTACCCAACCCACAAGAAAATGTGTCCCTTTCCCCTCTACCAGCCCTACGAAAGAAAAGATGTTCATGAAGTTGCGTTTTTTTTTGTCTTACATCATTTTCCCTCCTTTCAACCTAAAATTTCACCATTAAAATGCTTATTCTCATTTTCCCACTTTTATTCAGGTTGGAAATAGGGGAGACCTTAATCCTCTTAGGTGGTTGAATGTGGGGTGAAGAGATTGCATGTCCAAGTTTAAAAGCAGTCTGATGTGGCTTCAACTGTTAGCAAAGTGGCTAGATTTCCCCCAGGGCTTTGTCAGCTCAAACATGCTCTGTCTTGGCTCCTTTTGGAGAGTTGAGGTCTTGTTGGTTTCAGATGTCATTAACCTCAGAAGTCAGTGGCCCTGGGTTCTTGCCCCTCCTGTCATAACCTGAAGGCTTCCGTTTTGTTGAGTGTATGCACTCAATGCTTTCCAGACTTCTAATTTACTTTGTCTGTTGCAGGATTAGCATAATCAAGAAGTTCAAGTTGAAGAAATGGAAAATCATCTTTCCTGACCAAGTTAATTTAACATACAACTACAATTGTTAGTGTAACGTGTGCGGCACCAGTTAACCCTCTCCTCCCTCATCAACAACCCCCTTGCTTCACAATCACCATGGAGGAGAGCTTGGAGGTGAAGTTAAGTTTGGGGTGGAACAGAAGTTTGTGAGGCCTCCTTAAACTAGCTGTTGTGATGTAATTGTTTGAATTAATTAGAATAAAGTTATTTTCTTCCAGTTTTCTTGTAGTGTACACCTGCCTGCCATCTGCCCTCATTTCACAAACACAACTGTGTCAGCATGTCTTTAAACTTATCTTTGTTTGTTGTCCTGGATTAAGAAATGTGCACCCACCAGATCTAACAGGGCCCCTGGGGAAGCTCTGCATGTAAGGAGTAGCTCACTAACTCATACGCTGCTCATTCATGGTCCAGACACTGTTGTTAAGTGCTGTTAAGGCAGTTCCAACTCAGCAACCCTGTATAGGTTTTCAAAGAAGCAGCTGGTGGGTTTGAATGGCTGGCTTTGCAGTTACCAATCCAGCACCACACCGGAACTCCGGTCTAGGCACTTAGAAGGCCAGGTCAGGATTTCATGTCACTGGTCCCCCTTCTACCCACTCCTCATGACATGGTTAGGTTCCAAAGGCCAGTTTGTTAGGTGAAGATGGAAGATAACCACATCATTACACTTCTGCTAAACCACTGAATCCTGGCCCAACCATGGTTGGCATAACCATCATAGAATGATAAAATTGCATAAGATAGATTATTAGGTGCTGTGGAGTCGACCTGTACAGGGTTTCTGAGGCTGTGAATCTACGGGAGCAGAAAGCCTCAATTCTCCCACGGAACAGCTGGTAGTTTTCAAACTGTTGACTGAGATTAGCAGCCTGATTCGTAAACCACTACGCTACCTGAGATGTCTATGTTGTTGTTGTTATGTGCCCATAGAGTCGGTTCCGACCCATAGCGACCCTGTATAGGGTTTCCGAGGGTGTAAATCTTTACAGGAGTAGAAAACCTCATCTTTCTCCTGCGGAGCAGCTGGTAGTTTCGAACCGCTGACCTTAAGGTTCGCAGCCCGATTCGTAACCACTATGTCTATAGTAAATGTTAAATGTCAGTTGATAAGTAAATATAGTCTTGACAATAAAAGCCATTCTACTAAATGTGCTAGAGTTTCCTTCGGGGGTGAGGAGGAGTCCTCATTTCATAAATGAATCTGACAGTCACTTCTAGGAGTTGCCCTTAATACCTAAGTTTGGCTCTTCAGTTATCTTGCTCTCAAACACACTTTCATGGGCTTTATGTCTTCAGGATGTAGAACCACCCACTGGGTGCACTGGCCTATTGCCCTGGGGCAGAAGACACTCGATGCATTAAGAGTATTTATTATAAACCCAGGAACTCAAAACATTTGTACACCAATGTTCAGTCTCTAGAAAGTGAAGACAACCCAAAGTGTCCGTCCACAGATGAACGACTAAACTGGTGATACATTCTGTGGAGTATTAAGTGTCGTCCAGTCGGTAGCGACCCTGTATCGGGTTTCCAAGGAGCAGCTGGTGAACCTGAACCACCAACCTTACAGTTCAAATGGCTTTGCAGTCTGGCGCATTAACCCACAGCGCCACAATGAACTTATCGTTAAAAGACAAATGAAAAGTGCTACGTGCTATGACGTAACATAAACCTGAAAAATGCTGAGTAAAATAAATCCTACCCAATCTACCAGCGGTTCCAGGGGAGAAAGCTGAGGCTTTCTGCTCCATAAAGATTTACAGCCTTAAAAACCCTGTACAGGGTCACTATGAGTCTGAATGGACTCCACAGCACATAACAATATTGTACGGTCCACTTAAATGAACTATCCAGAATAAGCAAATGCCTTTTAGGAACTTTTAGCTGAAAATAGAACTGTTAGGAAGCTCATTAACTTGTGAGGACTGCATTATTTTAGGTCTCAAACACAAGCAGTACTTGGGTGGTACAAACCACTGCTGGAGTCCACTCAGGTACCTAGGAAGAAAGGCCTGGCAATCTAAAAATCAGTCATTGAAAACCCGACAGGGATGAGAATATTTGCCAACATTGACGAATGTTACCAATATCCCTGATTATGATGTCTAGAAAATAAGGGGAGTGGGCTTTGCTTTGCATATTTTCACATATAATAAATGCCCTGAGAGCACACTTCTACTCTGGCCTCCACAGGTTGCCATGAGTGGCAGTCAGCTCCACAGCAACTGGTACTTACAGTTTGGGGGCCACCAGAGCTGCTGTGCCAGCTCACCTGTGGCAGTGGTCATGCACTGAGCTGTCACCGTGTTCCCAATGAGGTTTCAGCATACATGGATGTCACCCCTAGAGAAGTGAAGATGTTCCTAGCAAGGCTTGGAGGCCAAGTGAGCTCTGTGGGAAGGATGGCCACCTCATGCTGCTCTGCCTTGTCCCCAGGCCACCCGGGGAGGCTCACCTGCTGATCGCCCAGCCGCTTCCCCTGCCAAGCTTTGCCCTGCCTCCCAGGATTGCGGCGGAGATTTATTTTTGGCACGTTGGGCTCCGGTCAAGTTGCAAAGCCTGAAGAAGAACAGCAAGATCTTGTAGCTCTATCCACAAGTGCTCAGCACAGAGCTCCAACCTCGGAGGTCCGTGATTCCCCAGGGGCTCTAGGACCTTCAGGATTCCAATCAAGTCCTCTCAAGGGTCTGCAAGGACCTAAAGGGTGAGTACCAGGCAGCCAGTGATGGACAGACGCCAGGAGAAAGGCGAGAGACAGAGGCTTGTGGGGGAGGCCCGTTAGACCTACTCCACCTCCCTCTGGAGCCAAGGGCAAGTGACATCGACCTTTAAAGTCCCCTCCGGGGTGGTTTCTACAAGAACAGTGAGTCTGCAGCTGAGTTTTCTCTCTGTGGGACAGGCCACCTGATTCCATCATTTGGGAACCCTCTCCAAAGGGGTTTTGGGAAGTGCCTGGGGGCCCAGGTGGGGACAGTGGACAGAGGCACCAAGTTGGAAGGATGACTGAAGATAAACAACATCCAACTTGGAGAACTGAGTACAGCCAGAACTCAGGGGTGGGTACTGAGATAGCAAGCAGTCTGTGGTGGATCCCTGATACGGCCTCTGCCCACAAAAGGAGAAAAGAGAAGGGAGGCCTCTAGGAGGGTCCGGAAGAGCTTACTCTAAAGCCTGCAGGGTCCAGTGTTGCCCAGTCTGGGGAGATGGCAGGACAGGGGGCTCAAAGCCCTGGCTTCTTGTTGCTGCAACAGACCCTCTGGGGCTGGTAGGAGCTGCAGGCAGGGAGGGGGAGGAGCCTGGAGCGACCCTGGCCCCTACTGCTGGGACAGGCGGCTGTTGTTATTCCAAACCTTCTTTAGTAACCAGGCACCCAGCTGCAGGAATGCCAGGCTTCCTGGCGTAGGCCAGCCAGGGCGGCTGCGTGACTGTCAGCAAAATGGTCTCTTTGGCAACCAGGTCTCTGGAGAGCGGAGTGTGAGTGGAAGTGGGCAAGAGGCAGTTTCGGCCTCTCTGAGAGATGACTTGCTCAATCCTATCAGCAGATGATTTGCTCCAGCCTAGGGAGAAGTCCTTTCTGTATGTCTCCACTGGACGCAGAGGGCAGAGGTGACCGAGTGTCCCGGGGAAGGCTGTAGACTAACAGGATATGCGATAAAATCTTGACAGCTGATCCACAGCCTGGGCCTAGGGCTCACTGTTCAGCCCTACATCTATTCCTCAGAGTATCCAGCGTGGCCAGGCAGAAGGCATGCACTGTCTAGGAGAAAATGAGCCAAGTCAGGAGGGGCGATTCAGAATGCCCCCAGGGATGTGTAATGCATGAGGATGCAGCAGTGGAAGATGTCCCGGGAGGGGCACGTAGGACTGACAGACCAAAAGAAAACCCTCAATTCAAACTGGTTGCCATGTGGCGGCGACCCCATGTGCGTCACAAGTAGAACTGAGCTCCTATAGGGTTTTCTTTTTTTCCATTATGAATATTTTCTTTCTGGTGAAAATCTACACAGCAAAATCTACTCCCATGCAACAGCTTCTGGATACCATGGTCAATGGCACTGATCCATATTTTTCAGTAGCTGAATTTTTGGAAGGAGGTTGCCAGGTCTTCCTTCTAAAGCCTCTCTGGCTAGACTCAACCCTCCAACTAAAAGAACATATTAAGATGAACTGTGGACCTTCTCAACCCTTTCACAAGTTCAGAGAGCAGCCAGTTTTCTTGTCATAGATTGAATTGTGGTCCCCCCACCCCCATCCCCAATGTGTGTCACCTTGGCTTGACCATGATTCTCAGTGGGTTAGCAGTTATGGGATCTGAGGTGTTCAGTCCTGATCTGATGTAGTTACCCTGTGTTGTTAATCCTCACTTCTATGATGTGAATGAGGCTGGAGGAAATTGACAGGATTCAGTTGTATTTTGAGTCAATCTCTTTTGCGATAGAAAAGAGATTCAATAGGCAAGAAGAGCTAAGAAGTCAAGAAAGAAGAGCCGGGTGTGGAGTGCCTCCTCTGGACCTGGTGGGGTCCCTGCACTGTGAAGCACCCAGATCCAGGGGAAGAATGATGTCAAGACACAAGGGGATCTCCAAGGAATGCTGGGTCTGCAGATGCTGAAAGGGGACAAGGACCTTTCTCCAGAGCTGACAGACAGAAAGCCTTCCCCTAGAGCTAAGACTCTGAATTTGGACTTCTAGATTCCCACACTATGAGAGAATAAATTTCTATTTATTAAAGCCGTCTCTGTGAGTCAGAACTGACTCGATTGCACGTTAACAATAACTACGATTTGGTAGTAATCTTTTCTTCACTTAGCCTCATATATGGAGATCAAATTGACAACAGCAACTGGAAAGATTAGATCAGTAATTAAAGGGCAGTGAGTTGATGTAAATGTTAAGTGCTATCAAGTCAGTTCTGATTCATAGTGATCCTAAAGAGAAGGTGAATTTGAACTGGCATCCTTGTGGTTAGCAGTGCAGTGCTTATTACATAGCACCACACCCCAGGACTCCTTGTGTTGATGGGGGGACGGGGGACGGGAGACAGGGACAAGAACAATTTGGAAAAGGAGGCCAAGAATGGTGGTACAACCAGCAGATGTAACTGTCACTGAATTGTGAGTGTAGAAATTGGCTGAACTGACGTTCGTTTTGCTGTCTACTCAACAAAAACAACAAAATCAATTTTAAAAAATGAAATACCAAGAAGCACGTGACTGTATACTACCTGGCTTCATTTTCAAGTAATTTTTAAAATGATATATGGCTTTATGTAAACAGTCATTGCTGAGTAAAAACATGCATTTAAAAACAGCAGATGTTACTTTTTTTAGAACCTGTGGGGGTTCCTATAGATTTACTCATATTTCTTTTCTTAACCTGCATTAAAAATTGATTTCTGTTAGTGTTAAAAAACAAAAGAAAAACAAAAAACAAAAAAACCCACCCATGGAGGAGTTCCCTATGAGAACTGTCCTCAGGGTGTGGACCACCCTGGTGCAGGAAGCCCAACTCCCTGTGAAAAGAGGACTGGGGGTGGGGGTGGGGGTGGGGACACAGTCCAGGGGCAGCAGGAGGAAGCTTGGGGTTCAGGATGTGGCAATCACAGGAGGGAGGTGAGGGAGGCTGGGTCTGCCCTGTGTGAGGGCAGTGAGGAGTGAGAAATGTCTCCGTCCCTCATGGAGCCATCCCTTGGGCCAGGGAGGCTGCTGGCTTCCTTCTGTTTCCCTTACAGAGTCCCTCGGAGCTGCCCTGAGAGCCAAGCATGACCCGGGAAGAGGCCCTGCCAGACTCCCACTCTGCTCAGGGCTTCTACAAGAACTATGAGCCCAAGGAGATCCTGGGCAGGTCAGGAGGATCGCCCACCCCTCCCCACACCCACAGTCCCACAATGAGCTGACCTGGTCCCAGACTGGAATCACATGGAGAACCCTTCAGTGTGGAGATGCTGCCCTCCTGATACCATGAAAGATAAGGGGGTACAAGCGCTGTCTGAGAGGGCAGTAGATTCCTTGCCTTTCATGAGGGAGACCCAGGTTCGATTCCTGGGTGCTGCACCATGTGTGCAGCCACCCCCCAGCTGTCGGTGGAGCTTGTGTGTTGCTAAGATGCTGAACAGGTTTCAGTGGAGCTGCCGCACTAAGATGAGGAAGAAAGGCCTGGTTATCTACTTCCGAAAATTAGCTCATGAAAACCCAGCCCCTCCCAGTGTGCACGGGGTTGCCATGAGTTGGGGCCCACATGATGGCAGCCCTTGGGATAGCTGGGGGGCAGGGGCAGGAGTTAGAGGGAAGTTTATAGAAAAGGACCCAACAATGCCATTCTGGTCTCACCCTCTGGTCTCTGAACCCCCAGAGGCGTGAGCAGTGTCGTCAGGCGCTGCATCCACAAGCCCACAGGCCAGGAGTATGCCGTGAAGATCATTGACATCACCGGCGGAGGCAACATCAGCTCTGAGGAAGTGCAGGAGCTGCGCAAGGCCACGCTGAAGGAGGTGGACATCCTGCAGAAGGTCTCCGGCCACCCCAACATCAGTGAGTACTGGTGTGGCGCTCTATGGAGGTGCTCCCAGGCAGGAGTGAGGGTGAAGACTGAGGCAGTGGCAAGAGTGAGGATGGGGGGCGGGGGGCTGCTGAGGTTCCAGCTGCCCATTCCTTTGGTGGGTATCTATCTTGCTATCACCCCACCCCCAGCCTTTGAAGCCAGCTGACATCAACCTAGCCCTTTACCCTGTGGGTCTGCCCCACTGCTCTGTGGCCTCAGACCAACTGCTCATTTCCCTTTCAGTCCAGCTGAAGGACACTTACGAGACCAACACTTTCTTCTTCTTGGTGTTTGACTTGTAAGTACCCGGGCCTGGAGGTAGCTGTACTGTGGGGTGAGCCACAAACCTGAGGATGATTCTCCCCCACCCTTTGCTTCCCAGAAGCCACGGCCAGCCCCCTCTACTGTGAACACCAGACAGGACAGAGAGGGCTTTAGGCACTGTGGGCTCAAGCTGCCCAGTCCACCACTTACAGCTGGGCAATTCCTCTGAGAAGCAGTTTTCTCATCTGTATGATGGGGGTAGTGACTGAACCAACTTCACAGGGGCTGTTGTAAGGTTTACGTTTGATGCTATATGTAAAGCTTGGCACAGGGATTCACACATGTAAGATGTTAATGGCTCCTAGCCGTGATGGTGAGGCATGAAGCGAGGTGGTTCAGTGCGGACCTCTCACCTTCCCTGTGGGAGACGCATGGTTCATGCCCGGCTAGCGTACCTCTGCCAGCAAACACACTTTCTTGCTGTTTATTGTGAACTGAGTGCAGGTTTATAGAGCAGATCACCAGTTTTACACTCGTCACGATATACTTGGTTTCATCTCAATGACTGCAGTCCCCTCCCTGCAACATCACTTATCCCCACCTTCCTCCCTGTCTTTCTTGTTTCCACTCTTCCTTCCTTCTTCCTCCACCCTTCTAAACTCTGTCCTTAGGTAAATGCTGCCCTTTGGATCTCGAATGGTTGGCCCTTCTCTGCTGTGTGTTCCTCAGTAGTGTGGTCCACCATACATACCTATGTATTGCTTGGCTAAAAATTGAGGCTGAGGGGGTGAGTTCAGTTCCAACCCTGAAGGGTGACCAAGATCCAGCGTCTCGGGGTTCCACTAGTCTCCATCTGATCAGTTAGTCTGGTCCTTTCTATGATTTTGAGTTTTGTTACACATTTTCTCTCACCCCACCCAGCAGTGCACGTTTTCATGTTACTATGCAGCTGAACAGCATCTGGGGTCGATTCCAGTCTGAGCTTAGGAAAATAGGCCTGAAAATCTACTTGCAAAAATCAGCCAACAAAGATTCTGTGGATTGCAACTGATCGGGCAACTGATCGGGCAGCGTTTCATTCTGTTGTGCGTGGAGTCACCATGAGCCAAGGCGACAATGCTGATGATAGGCCAGTTAATAATTATTGTAGGCACTGAAACTACAGCAATGAATAAGACCCCTGTTTCATGTCATTTTCACCGAGTATGGGCAGAAAACAAACAAGCTATAGTATCTCCATGCCCTATGTCCAAGTGCAAAAAGCAGAACAGGGCTAGAGTGGCCCGGGGCATTGTGGGAAGGTGGCCAGAACAGAACTTCAGGTGAAGCAGGACCCCCATAGACAATGGCTGGCTCCAAGGCCTGGTCTTAGCATGTTCTAAGATCGGCAAGGTAGCTCTGGGGTGCTGGAGGGGTGGCTCAGGTGGGGAGGTAGAAGGCCAAGTCAGTTAGTCCCCAGGACCTGGTTCTGCAGGGCATGCTAGCCACGCAGACTAGGGGGCAGGAAGGCGCTGGACTCTGACATACATGTGAGAAGACTCATGTTGGGGAAGTCAATGTGTGGTGAGAGACAACCACTGGTCACACCAGGTCTCAGAACAGGGAAGGGGTGGTTGTTGTCGTTAAGTGCCATTGGATCAGTTCTGACTCATAGTGACCCTGTATAGGATTTCCAAGGAGCAGTTAGTGAGTTTGAACCAGTGACCTTGTACTTATCCCATAACGCTACACCAGGACTCCAGGAAAGGGGTAGAGGTGGTATTTGGGATGCGGTTCAGGGACTATCCTCATCCCCCTGATCCTAAGACGAGCCCTCCCTGACTCAGAACAGTGACATCAACCACTCTGCCCACTCAGCAGCATCACTGTCCCTCCACGCTCCATCCAGCTCCTAGTGCTCGCCACTGCACTGTGTGCTTGCCACAGAACCCACACCCTGCCTGGAGCGGTGTCTCCAGGTCTCTACTCACAATAGCTAGTTTAAGGTCACTGGGTGGCACAACAGTATCTGCTTGGCTGCTACGTAAAGGTAGTTGGTTCAAACCCACCAGAGGTACTATGGAAGATAGCCTGGCAATGTGTTTCTGTAGCGATCACAGCCAAGAAAACCCTATGGTGCAGTTCTACCCTGTAACACAGGAGGGACCCAGTGAGTCAATCGAGTTAATAATGGCAATGGACTTGAGGCAATTACTCAAGCCAACTTGGTATTGTAGCATTTCCAATTCTAGCTATACTGAATACGTGCACGGCTTTTGGGCCACGGCACACGTTTACTTCATGTGATGTGCAATTAAACTGTCAGCTCCAAAAAGAAAGGTGCCTACCCATGTACCAGCATTTGCTGTCATTGCTGGGGGCCACTGAGTCGATTCTAACGCAGTGACCCTAAAGGACTGAGAACTGCCTCATAAAGCTTCCTAGGCGGTCACCTTTATGGGAACAGATCAGCAGCCACTGGATTTGAAGCACTGACCTACTGGTTAGCAGCTGAGCACTTAATCACTGGGCTACTAGAGAATCCTAGCAAGTTCTCCTACCCAGCATCCACTATGGATTCTGACCCACAGAGACGCCAGAGGACAGAGCAGAGCTGTCCCACAGGATTTACAAAGCTTTCACCTTGAAGGAGGCAGACAGCTACAGCTTTCTCTCCCCGAGCTTTCAGGTAGCTGACAAGTGCTTATCCCTCATGCAATCAGGGCGCCTTCCCATCTCTCCTTTGTTGTTGTTAAGTGACATCGAGTCGGTTCCGACTCATAGTGACCCTTGCAATTCAGTGCTGATCCCACACTGCCATACTAGGGCCCCTCAAATAGAATTAAAATGATAAAAAAAAAACTAGATTTACACACTGTCCTATAGGAACCTAGTATAGATACAGTATAAACTGAGGCTTGCATCTGTTAACTTTAGGTTATAGCCCCAAACAGGACCAAGGGTTCACTGGCCTGTCTCTGAAAAAACAAACCCAGACCTCACTGACTTCGTAGAGTTGACTCTGACTCATAACGACCCTGCAGGAAGGCAGAGCTGCTCCCTAGAGTTTCTGAGACTGTTGATCTTGGACAGCCTCATCTTTCTCCCTCCAAGTGGCTGTTAGTTGGCCACTGCTTAATCCCTGATGTTACCAGTAACATTGTTACTGTTGTTAAGTGCTGCTGAGTCTGTTCCAACTCACAGAGACCCTATACAGGGTTTTCCAGGAGCCCCTGAATTGAACTGCCAATATTGCTGCTCACACCGACCTTGCGCAGTCAGGTCAAGGGCTTACCCTCCGGAGCCACACCAGGACTCGGTGCCTCCATTCCTCCACTCCCTCCTCCCCTTTTGACCTAGGGACCTCACTTCTTCCCGGGTGGTAAGAGGGCCCAGGATGCCAGACACCTGCAACCCTAACCTCAGCTGCTGTCCCAACTCTGTTCTGAGGTCTGTCATGTCCAGACAGATGGCCCTGGGTGTATCTCAGATGTCTCTCGCCTTTGGAGACGTCACTTGGGGAAGCTATTTTTAACGATGCTTGAGTACCCTTTCAAGGTAGAATGAGATTGTTGGACCAAGACCTCTGTCTACATCATCCCAAGAGATGAGAAGGCTGGACTGCAATTCTTCACCTTGGAGTGGCCACTTCCCTTCCTGGCACTGCTCATTCCCTAGGACAATCAGGAGTTGCCTGTCCTTCTAGTCTGGAAGAATGCCTGCCCCGCCCCACCCCCTCCAGCCCAGCCCTGAAAAGAAACCTTAGTCCATACCATCACTCCCAGATGGGGGGCTCCTCACAGTGAACCACCTGCCCCCCTTGCTCTCTTCCAGGCTTCCGGGGTAACCTCCCCCTTGGCTGGTTCCTCCTCTCAGGCATGGGTCTATCATGAGGAATGGCCCACCTTGCCTCTAAGGGCATTAGGGTGGCGGGAAGCTCTCTGGGAAGATTAGAACAGATCCAGCTATACACCCTCTGTTCCCACAGGATGAGGCAAGGGGAGCTCTTTGATTACCTCACCGAGAAAGTCACCCTTAGTGAGAAGGAGACCAGGTGAGGGTTCTCTCACGTGTAGTAGGGGATGGTGTACAGTTGGGCTGGGACTTATAATACTGGCTTTCACGGGCTCCCTGGGACAGTCTCCAGGGTCCCTGCTTGTCCCATGCCCCCACTTGCAGCTGGGTGGGATGGGGGATGGGGGCCTGCCTGTTGTCAGCATTACTCTTGCGCCCCCGCCCCCCACTCCCCAGGAAGATCATGCGGGCCCTGCTGGAGGTGATCTGCGCCCTGCACAAGCTCAACATCGTGCACCGGGACCTGAAACCTGAGAACATTCTCTTAGACGACGACAGGAACATCAAGCTCACAGACTTCGGCTTCTCCTGCCAGCTGCGGCCGGGAGAGAGGCTGCGAGGTCCGGACATGCAGGGCCTTAAAGGCTGGGGCTCCCTCAACTCCCCACTAAAACCCCCAGAAAACCCCACCCCATCAGGCACCCAGGGTCTCTTCCACTCAGCATCATCCCATGGTCAGACTGGCAGCAGGTGACTATGGCACACCAATGGCCCCCAAGTTGGTGGGTCCTACTGCCCGTCTTTGGCCCTGGGTTAGCACATTCCCAGGCCCAGCACCATACTGCCCCTCTTCGCAGTCTCTGGCCCTGCCTGCTGACCTGCCTGCCCGTACTTGTCCTGCAGAGGTCTGTGGAACGCCCATTTACCTGGCCCCTGAGATCATCGCGTGCTCCATGAACGATGACCACCCAGGCTATGGGAAGGAGGTGGACATGTGAGTGCACGTGTGTGAATGGAGGGAGGGGCACCCCCTCCCAGCCCCAGGTGACAGCTGGCCGTGCCCCCAGGTGGAGCACCGGCGTCATCATGTACACCCTGTTGGCCGGCTCTCCGCCCTTCTGGCACCGGAAGCAGATGCTGATGCTGAGGATGATCATGAGCGGCAACTACCAGTTTGGCTCACCTGAATGGGACGACTACTCGGACACGGTGAAGGACTTGGTGAGGGGTGCTAGGGCCGTGGGCCATGGGAGGAGCCCAGTGCTGACAGCCCTGAGGGGCTCTGCTTTCACGCTCCTCCCCATCCCCAGATCTCCCGCTTCCTGGTGGTGAGTCCCCAGAGCCGCTGCACCGCGGAGGAAGCCCTGGCTCACCCCTTCTTCCAGCAGTACGTGGTGGAGGAAGTGCGTCACTTCAGCCCCCGTGGCAAGTTCAAGGTAGGGACACGGGGCAGGGGTGGTGGGTAGGAGGCCCCAGCCTTCTGACTCCAGCGAGACAGGCAGGCCCAGCCTCCCCGCCATGGCCCCTGCAGGTGATCGCGCTGACCGTGCTGGCCTCGGTGCGGATCTATTACCAATACCGCCGTGTCAAGCCAGTGAGTCGGGACATCGTCATCCGCGACCCGTACGCGCTGCGGCCACTGCGCCGCCTCATTGACGCCTGCGCCTTCCGCATCTATGGCCACTGGGTGAAGAAGGGGCAGCAGCAGAACCGCGCAGCGCTCTTCGAGAACACCCCCAAGGCCGTGCTGCTCTCCCTGGCTGAGGACTACTGAGGCCCGCGGGGTCCGGGATAGAGCTAGGGGACTGCGCAGGGGGGCCTGGCCAGGAGCTCCTCAAAACATCCCAGCACACAACTGACAATCACAGACTGATTAGTGGCTAGGGTCTCCCCACTTTCCAGCTGGGTCACTTCTCCGGGGAGGCCCTCTGCTCTTGGGGTCCTGGGGAAGGCGAAAAGCACAGAACAGTTGGACACACACTCCATCAGGGCTCCCGGGAGCAGCTTACTCTCCACAGAGGCGTGGGGCCCTAACGTAACAGAAGAGAAGTTTCGGGCAGCTGTCTTTCTGAAGGCCTATGAATTTCGGCTTCCCACAATGCTCCCCAGGTGGCCATTGTTCACCCACCAGCCGCTCCTCAGAAACCCTATACAGGGTCACTATGAGTTACAACTGACTCCACAACACTTAACACAACAGAAAGTGGAGAGTCACACTTCACAGGGACAAGAGACACAAGGGATGAGGCGGAGGAAGGAAGCATGTTCCCCCCCTAAAGCCATTTGCTGGGAAACAGAATACTGGGAAACATCCTCGAGCAATCTCAGATCCCTGAATCAGAGAGGGGAAGGGGAGGGTACAGATTTTGAACAGATTGTAAATGTTTAACCAACTACCTTGCTGAGTACTTGGCTCCAACTGTTTGAGTATGTGGCCCCTGACTGGTTGGTCCTTGACTTGTGAGGGAAACACGACTCCCGGCAACCATCAATGGGTTAGACCTCTTCTCCAGGATAACCAGGGTCCTGGTGAGGGAGGGGAGAAGTCTTGTCCTGATGCTGACGCTGAGGCTGAATCATCCTCAGTTGAGCCCAGCAGAGCAGGCATGGCATGTGGCCCACAGGGAATTTTTCTCCTTGTCTGCTGGGCTGCTCACAGCTCCTCAGGCGGACGGCTTGCGCTGGAAGCACAACGGAAGCTTAGGTTGTCTGAGGCTGAATCTGGGGTGTTGCCCATCCTGCTGCCAGAGAGGGGGAGAGAGAGAGGACATTTGCTGAGAAAGGAGCCCAGGTCCTGAGCCAACTTCCTTTCCCAAACCCCTAGGGCCTGCTATGGTCCATGTACCTCAGGACTGGGGCAGCCGAGGTGGGGAGAGCAACTGGTGTAAGGGTTGGCCCTGAGCACCCCCGACTCCTGGGGAAAAAGGCTGAGCAGAGAGAAGGTCCCTGGGATAGGGGTGGGGCAGGAGTGGTCCTGAGGGACTGAGCTGGAAGGCAGGCAAAACTGTGACAGTAACTTTTACTATTGGTGCAAAATAATTCACTGCCACTGAGATACACAGCAAACCCACAGGACAGACAGAACTGTTCCACAGTGTTTCCCAGGCTGTAAATCGTTCAGAAAGCAGTCTCATCTATCTTCTGTGGAGCGGCTGGTAGGTTTGAACAACCGACCTTGAGCTTTAACTCACTATGCTAATGGGGCTCCTTAGCGCTGAATGGTGGTGGTGTGCCGTGGAGTTGGTTCCGACTCATAACGACCCTGTAGAGGGTTTCTGAGGCTATAAATCTTTATGGGAGCAGAAAGCCTTATCTTTCTCCTGCTGAACAGCTGGTAGTTTCAAACTGCTGACCTTGAGGTTAGCAGTCCAATGGTCAGAGTCTTCATCTGTACACTGCACTTTTCAAAGAACATGCACACACATTTCTTCATGTGCTGTTTCCCAGCTGCTCAGGAGGACAGGACAACCCTCATTTCAGAGACCCAGGATCAGCGGCTAGAAACACTGGTCTCTTGATCAATGTCCACCACTGACTCAGTGACCGGAAGGAATGGGGAAAGGCCAGGTCCTTGGCCTCCAGGCCAATACTATCTGACAACTTGGTCCTGGAAAAGTAGGTGAGGAAAAGCTGGGGGCCTCCACATGGATCCTGATGCCCAGAGACCCCCCCAGGCAATGGGTTCTCCTCTGTAGTCCCGCTGGGACCCCAGCTGAGGGGGCTACAGAGGAAGCACCCCAATCACCTCTATCAGCTGACCACATGGAAAGTACCTGAGCAGTCAGTACAGCCACGGCACCTGGATCACTCAGCCCACCCCCACCCTCTGAAAAGAGCAGGTCTCGGGCCTCGTGGGACCCACTCTTTCTTGACTGTGAAACTAAGTGGTTTGGAAGACGGCTTTTCCCAGTTCATGATCACTGGATGACCCTGGAAGTGACCATTCCAAAGCCCTGTCTCTGCCCACCTCATTATGAGGATGAGATGAGAAGCCATGTAATACAGATGCTGAACACACAGCCCCCTTGGTGAACACCCTGAGCGCTGGCAGGACAGGGTCAGTGACCTCAGGTCCCTGTGCTGGTCACAGCAAGCACTGTGCTGTCCCATGCCTGTGTTGGCGGTCTAGGTAAGGACATGGAGCAGGACAAACAGCAGCTCCAGTGTCCCCTGCTGGGGACCCAGGACTCAGACACTTCCCTTCAGTGACCCAGGCCTCCAGCCACCATCTTGTACATTTCACGGCCTGCACTTGTCCTCAAGAACCAAGGCCCTTACCTGGTGGTGACCCGGGCACGGTGATTGGCGGAGCCATCTGCTGTGTCGATCCAGGATGCCCCCCGGAGAACTCGCATGTCCTGCTGGGCAGGCTGGTACGGCGAGGCTGTCCACTCCCACACGTTGCCCATGAGGTCATGCAGCCCTGCAGGCCAAGCAGGCAGGCGGGTCACAGGCTGGGGAGTCCAGACACCAGCCAGCCACCATCACAGCCCAGGGCAGCAGTGGGGGCAGCTGCTTCCCTCCAGCACCTGTCAGGCAGGGTGAGCCCACCAACCAGTCAGGGAGGGACTTACCATAGCTGTTCTGTGGGGGGAATGCATTCACCGGGGAGACCCCATGGAAACCGTCCTCGGCCTTGTCACCTTTGGGAAACTTGCCCTGAAGAGGGATATTTGGGTTAGAACAGGTACCATCTGTTCTAGGTAAGTTCCTACCTGCCGAGGAGAACATCAGAATTATCTTTGTGCTATCGGGGGGAAGGGAGGGGTTAGGAACAGTAGGCAGAAGCTCCCCAGTCCTTATCACATTTTCCACCATGACCCCCTGGCTAGGTCAGGTGACCTACTGTCCATGGCAAATCCAACCCACTCCTGCTCTTCCCACAACCAGCGATTTCTCCCTCTGCCTCCAGCCCCGCACACTACAGCGCCCTGAGTAGAGGGGCTTCTCCTTCCTCCTCTTCCAGCAGCCCCTGTTCCCCTCCTCAAGAGCCTCAACGTCCTTCTGTGCTTACTTGTATCACCACAAGGCTCTTCCTCTCATCAGACCTCACTCTGTCACCCCAGCTCCTCCAGTAAGCGTCTTGGCAAAGTAGCCCGTTTGCTAACTCCATGTGTTCCGTTTGTTCCTTGTTATTAAAGTTGGTGGTTTCAGCCGCTATCACTCTGGAAGCTGCTCTTTGGTGGGGGAGATGGAGGGTTTCTAGTTGCTAGGTACTGAGACCTCCCTCTTTCAGGTTAATGCTCACAACACTCAGAGGTGGGTGTTTTCTCCATTTGAAAAAACAAACACACACATCCAAACACAGATGCCCTGAGATCACCTTTAAAGCTTAAACAAAAAATATCCCTTAAAGTCTTCTTAAATCCAAACAACAGCTTAGCTGAACTATTAAAACATGCCGGCCTTGAGTTCTGCGTTCTTTTAAGAACTAGCTATATGGATTCTCATTGGCAGCAGGAACTCGAAGGTTAGACTGTGATTTCTGTGAATGGGTGAGGAACCATCCAGAAAAGGAGGGTGAGAACGGGTACACAACTCAAATACTGTCATCCGTGTCACTGAACTGACTGTACCGGGAGGAGGTGCTGAATCGATGCACGCTCTGCTGTGTGTACTCTGAGCAGTAAGCTTAATTTAATACATATATATATATACATAATTAATTTTTTTGTTGTTTTGTATATATGAAAGGGCTCCAAAAGGTGCATGGAAAAATAGAATTAAGAAAAAAAAAAGGAAGTGGAATTTTTCCATGAACTTTTGAACTAACAGCTTAAGCTCCAAATGGTTTACTCATTTATCAAAGGTCAAATAGTGAATGAATCACTATCTTTCCTCAAAGCTGATTCTGAGCTAAAGCCATCTGAAAGGTCAGTCGACCCCTTTGATCTTTTTGTTCTCTTTCCCTAAAATGCCTGGAATCCTGGTGTGTCACTTTAGGATAAGCACTGGACTGCTACGCACTACAAGGCTGGTGGTTCAAACCCACCAGCTGCTCCTCAGAAGTCCTATACAGAGCCACTATGAGTTGGCACTGATGCGACAGCACTTAACAACTCCAAAATGCTGGTGGTGTAGAGTCTTCTCATTCAACCACAGGCTCTTCTCAGTCTGCAGTCTCCATAGGGGGCAGCCTTCAGGCCTTCGGTAGGTGTAGTATGTACCATCCCAGCCAACTCTCTGATCCAGACCTCTGTTCTAAGCTCTGGACTCCTATTTCCAAACTATGAATGACCCCAAAGCACCTTAAGCTTAGTTTTTCCAAAAGAACCAATCAAGTTCTCTCCCTCTGACTCGAGCATGCATACTATCTAGTTTGGACAAGGCTAACATCATTATCCCACTGCCCAAGCTTGGATTCATGATGCCTGAAGTCAACTCTCTTCTACCTTTGTACCTGCCTCACTCATTTAGTCCCCGATGAATCCAAGTGCTGACAATGCCCAGGGCCATCGTCACAGCCTCAATTTCAGATACTTCCTGTAACCACTGCAATACTGCTGCTGCATTGGGCCTTACACAACCATGCCAATGCAGCTTACTCCTCAAATCAAAATCATGCTGACCCTGTGTCTGAAGACCTCTGTTGGCGAAGGAGAAGTAGGAGTAAGAGGAAGAAGTGGAACACGGGGCTCACCGTCTCCATGAACAACTAACAACCTCCTCTGCCACGAGACCAGAAGAACTACATGGTGCCTGACTACCCCGACTGAAAATTTTGTTCCAAGATTTCATAGAAGAATCCTGATTAAAAGGGGGAAATACAGAATATAATTTAAAATTCTCATGGATCTAGACTTTCTGGAGCCATGGGGGAAAGAAGAACCCTTGAAACTATTGCCCTAAGCTCATTTTAAAATTTTAAGCCAAAAACAGTCCTGATGTCTTCTTAAAATCAAACAATAGTTCACCTTAACTAGTATAAAAGGCCTGTTTTTAGCATTATGCTTTTTTTAAGATCTATAAGGGGGCTTCAAAAAGTTTGTACAAGTCCATTATCTTTTAATGTTGTTAAGTATCATCAAGTTGGTTCCGACACATAGCGACCCTGTATAGGGTTTCCAAGGTGAGTCTGAACCACTGACCTTGTGGTTCAAACTGATCTTGCGGTCTAGTGCTTTATCCCACAGCGCCACACCAGAATCAAATGGACCAAAGCAACTCGAAAGATTAGACGGAAACCTTAGAGGGTGGCAGTGAATTTCTATGAATGAGGGAGAAACCACTCAGTACAGGGAAGTGACAATGGTTGTACAGCTCAAAGAACGTCATCAATGTCACTGAATGGTACACACAGAATTGCTGTATGTTCCGCTGTGTGTATTCTCAACAACATCAACAACATAAAATTTAGGAGAGGAAAAAACAAACAAACCACCCCACCTCTGCTGGAATGCAGATACACACACCTGTCCCCACAATGTTCACTGAAGCACTCCTCACAACAGCCCAAACAACGGAAATGTCCATCAACGGAAGAATGGCCAGAACCAACGGGGTGTGCACCCTCAGTGGCATACTACTCAGCCAACAGAAGGAATGAAGTTCCGATATCAAAACATGCGAGAACCTTAAAAACATGGTGTTCAGTGAAAAAAGATATATGTGTGTTTTAAGACTTCACTAACCTGAACTCGGCTAATGTACAGACTACGGCTTATTCATAGTGACCAGGAGCAGGAGGGACGGGGGGACAGAGGGTTATTGTTCCAGGGGCACTAAACTTCTGTGAATGGCGGTGGAATCATTTGTAAAAGGCCGATGGTGGTGGGTGCACAAGAGTGCCATCACTGCCACTGGACAGGACATAAAAAATTGTTGGAACCGGCAGATGTTTGGTTACTTACAAGTATGTTTTTACTACAGTAAAACAAAACGTAACACCTTTGTTAATTTCCACTGCCTACAGGTAAAATCTACAATACCTGCTGGCCCCAAATCCATTCTCTACTTTATGTCCTATAACTCATTTCCCGGAGCGTCAGTGTCTGACCAGTGACGGAACACACGCTGTCTCCTCTGCTTGGAGCTCCTATTCCTCCATGCTTCCCTGGAAACTTCTATTCCATCAGTTCAAAAGGCACCTCCTCTGGGAAGTCCTGCCCAGCACCCTCAGACTGGGATGCGTTCCTGAGTACACTGTACAGACCTTTAAACACAGCACAGGGCCCGGTGTCCCCTGACGTCTCGGTTTCTGTTATCGGCTCCACTGGAACACAGAGCCCCGAGACTCCCAGTCATACACCACGCTAGTCTATCAAAAAAACGACTAAACCCGCTACCATCAACCTGGATAGGACTCAGAGTGACCCAATGGGAGCACTACTCCATGGGGTTTCTGAGACTGCAAATCTTTACGAAAGCAGACAGTCTCATCCTTCTCCCTGCAGTCTAACACTTAACCCATGGCACCACCAGAGCTCCTTGTGACTTAGTACAGACCTCAATCAAAGCATGGGCAAAGGACAGGAATTAGAAACACAGGTCTCACCTGCCACAGGTTGGTGCGGTTTGGCAGGAACTGGTTCCCCCAGGGATAAACCTGACCTGCAAGGGAGAGAAAGGGACAGTGGAGGAGGAAGTGACATAGGGGGCAGTGAAGAGCTGGGCAGGAGGTAGGGTGGAGAGAAAGAGAGAGGGAACCAAAAGGGGACTAGGCGATGAGAAAAGGAGAGAGATGATTTATTCCCACTTCTCACACCCAGCGCCACACTGCATCAGGGTCCTCCACATCCACCCCTGCACTCCCTGTGCTCCATCAGGACCCCTCCACACCCACCCTGGCACTTGGCTTCCCTGGTCTCTGACTGTGCTTGAGAGCAGTTCAAGGCCAAGTGTGGCTCTTGGACCAGTGCCGGATGGTACAGAGCTTGTGTCTGGCCCCCGTGAGATCAGTACAGAAATGGAGAGTAAGCACAGAGAAGCTTGGTAAGTGAACTAGAACTGGAGAAAGGAACAAGCATGCAGCGACCTTATTGGTCACATTAAACCCTTTATCCAGTCACACGCTGAGTGTGTGGAGGCATTATATAACCGTGGGAAATGGCTATTTCACACTAACTTCTTTAAATTAAAAAAAAAAAAAAAAAAAGCCACAAGTTGTCACGTTGATCCCAACTCATGGGGACTCCATGTGTGTCAGAGCAGAATTGATTGGCAGAGGGTTTTCAATGGGTGAGTTTTTGGAGGCCAACCATCAGGCCTGCCTTTTGAAGCACCTCTGGGTGGACTCGAACCTCCAACCTGTCTGTTAGCAGCTAAGTGTGTCAACCATCTGCACGGTATCCAGGGGCTTCAAAACCGCCAAGCTGACTCCACTCGTGGGAACCCCACGTGTGTCAGGCTAGAGCTGTGCTGATCTGCATCACAACACACTATAATCGACGAAACGGATGCGTACACGTGGTTAATATTTAAGCCACTCTTCTTTTTCTCTAAGTTAATTATTCCAATGACAAAAATGAGATGTCATTTATTATCTGTGGGATCTCCAATAATAGCATTTGGGGCCCGTCTGCATTTGACATCTGGCATTTCATTCCATTTTCCCAGGTACTCGTTTTTATTATATTTTATAGAAATACTGGCTTGAGACGTACAAGAAATGAAAAAATCACAAGTCATCCCTTAACATAGGCCATTTAAGCTGCACTGAAGCCCTAGTAGTGCAGTGGGTTAAACATCAGGCTCCGAACCACAAGGTCAGCAGTTCAAACCCACTAGCTACTCCAAGGGACAAAGATGAGCCTGTTCCTGTGAAGATTTATAGCCTCAGAAGCCCTATGCAGTTACTCTGTCCTAATAGAGTTGCTGAGTCGGAATTGATTCAGGGGCAGCAGGTTTGGTGCGAGGGAGGTGGGACCCTTCCCACCCTGTGGAGTCCCCCACTGCAGGGTGGGAGGAGGAGGAAAGCAGAGGGAGACGGCTCAGGCTTGTGTATACCTTTCAGGCCCCCTCGGGCGGCGAACTCCCACTCCTCCTCGGTGGGCAGCCGTTTTCCCTGCCAAGCACAGTAGGCACGGGCATCGTTCCAACTCACGTGTAACACGGGCAGCTCCAGTCTCTCTCGGATGCCAGAACCGGGACCTGCAGGCTGACAGCCAAGGTAAAGGGAGACAGGCTGCTGGGGTCACGGAGTGTGAGGAAGGCTAGGCTTAGAGTGCCTGAGTTCAGCATTTACCACTAGAGGGAGCAAGAGAGTCGGAAGCCAGCGCCTAGTGAGGGAGGAGAGGCCCAGGGGCCTGGAAAAGACTACTTTAAAGAGAAGGGATGGTGAGGAAAAGAACAAGGATTAGGGAGGCAGAAATAGGACTGCCTGGCTCTTCCCCTGAAGCCCCTCCTCCCATCATCCTTCTCAAGACAGTAGCCTTGTAGTCCTGGTGTGGCACTGTAAGATAGTCACTGGACTTCTAACCACCAAGTTAGCAGCTCTACCACTCCAGATGCTCCTTGGAAACCCTATACAAGGTCACTATGAGTCAGATCTGACTCAACGACTCTTAGCAACAAGAACAACAGTGAGCAGGGGATCTAGGGAGCCCAGCTCATGTCAACAGAGAAGAGATTCCAGAAGCAACCCTTACCTGCCTCCAGAAAGCCTTTTCCACAGGATGCCACCAGAGGAGAGACTACAAAAAAAGAAGAAACCTCAGTGTAAGCACCTCTGTGGTAATAAGGCCACCTTCCTAATGGAGGACAGGGGTAGATACACGGACCGCAGGCTGAGGCCAGCTAGTCCGTGTGAGGCTCTGGCGTTAATCCTGCAAGAGTGACATCTCGCCACCTTAGGAGACGGATCATCTGTTGAGATGTTCTCTTGCCAGTTCAGCCTAAACCCTATAGGAGCCTACCTCTTTCCAGGCAGCAGTGGGCTGGGAGTATGTGGTCATTTGACTCTGAGGTGGGTTTCTCCAGCTTCCTCCTAGCCCCCAGGAGTCCCTATCCCACAGGAGTCTCTGTCCAGGTCCCACTCCCATCCCCTCAGCAGTAAGCCCGGTTCTCTAACCTTCATTTGCTGGGTGGCTTTTTTCTTCAGCTCCTCGGAGACCAAGTCCTCAAAGACAAAGCTCCACCCAAATGCCTCAGCCTCTGTCTGGTACTTGGTGGCCCTGATAAACTCCCTGAAAAGAGAGGTCCCACCAGAGTCAGCTGACAGGGGTACCCACCCACCTCCCACTCCCCAAAACTTGATACCAAAGGGCATCAAATAACTCGTGGGAAAATTCCATTCTCTTTCAATTATCAATGCCATTTTTCCATGAACTTTTTGAAGTTCATCCTTTTTTCTTCAGCTTTTTAATGTGGTTTGGGTGAAAGTTTGTAGAGCAAATTCGTTTTCCATTCAACAACTGTTTCATGACATGAGTTGTATTTAGCGTCCCATTTCTATTCATTCTCCTTTCCTGGCCCTTCCTGCCTTCAGAAGTTTGATTTTAGACAAATAAATGCTGCCCTTTTAGTCTCATGTGTGAACTGTTCTGAGGAGGATGATCCTCATGGATGTTACTGTTTACTTTATAGGTCTGTCTGTGGTTTGGCTGAACTCCTGGTATAGCGCTGTAGGATCAGCACTGGACTGCGAGTCGCAAGGATGGCAGTTCAGACCACAAGCTGCTCCTCGGGAACCCTATAAAGGGTCACTATGAGTTGGAACCAACTCTATGGCACTTAACAACAACAACATTGTTTGGCTACGAGTTGATCCCTGAGATGGATTCAGGTCCAGGCTTGAAAGGTTCCTAAGGGCCACAGTCTCAGGAGTTCAAAACCTCATATATTCTTGTCTTATAAGGCCCACCTCTATGGAATTAATCTGAAAATCTGAGCAGGAGTTGTCCTTTAAATTAACATGCAATACACAACTAATGTTACTGGACTGTTTGCGTAGACACTGTGAATGCATATAGTTTTGGTGTGCATACTGCCACCAAAAATAAATTAGATTTTTAAAAAGTTTTATACTTTTCCTGGTTGTTTTGTTAAGTGCTGTCAAGTTGGTTCCAATTAGTGACAGCGTTTCCAAGGAGAAACTGCTGGGTTTGAACTGCTCACCTTGTGGCTCACAGTCCAGTGCTTATCTTATAGCACCACACCATGAGTCCTAGAGTTTCTAATATGTTGTTGTTAAGTGCGGTCAAGTCAATTCCGACCCATAGCAACCCTGTATAGGGTTTCCCAAGGAGCAGCTGGTGAGCTTGAACCACCAACCCTGCAGTTCAAACGACTTTGCAGTCTGACACATTAACCCACAGCACCACACCAGGAGTCTAGAGTTTCTAATAATATAGACCTTTTATTTATTGCACTTTACCTTTAATATTATACTACTTCAGTATAGTGTAGAAATCTTACAATCTATTTCCAATTTCTCTCCCCCATATTTTGTGCTGCAATTATTGTACATTTTACTTTTATTATACTATCAACCCCAAAATACAATGCTACAAGTTTATATTTAGATAGTCAACAGTATTTTACAGCAATAAGAAATAAATTTTCAGACTTTTGGTAAGACGTCGGGCTAGGCAGATGCAGTACGCGGACTCTCCAAAATGTAAGATACAAAAGACCAAACGAAACAGACATAGATGAACATCCTGGCACCCTGAACTTAGAGGAAAGTTAGATGAGTGGACTGAGTGCTTGGTGGGAGGAAGAACTGAGAGGACAGCAAGAAAGGGAGACTGACTGGTAAACTGCCGGCTAGCCATGGGTGACCATCTTGAACTTTTCTAACAAGCTTTAGCGACAGAAAGTGGCCTGGCATAGCAGATTCACACAGGCGACAGGAAAACTCCATTTTCCTGTTTCCTCTTTTTAGTAATTATATATTTTTTTTCTGTTTTATTTACTTTTTCTCCTTTATTATTTTCTCTTTTCATTGTTGGTTCCTTGTTTGTTTATTCTGTTTTGTTTTCTGGTGCGTGTGTGTTTGTGTTACTGATAGGAGACAGCAACCCTTTCCATACAGCCCAGCCACAACCCTACCCTAGCTCCTATACCACCTGATCAATGACAGACAGCAGCCAACACCAGCCAAACATGTGCTGCACTGAGGTGCACAAATGGATGAACTGAGAACGGTGCACACTCTTCTCTTCTCTAATTACATCCACAGGAGACAGCTTCTGAGAACCTAAGACTGTATCAACAAACAGTCCTCCGTTTAACTAAGTACAATACCACCACAATGCCCCGGAGACAACAGGCAATTTAATAAAATACAATAAATACCACCACAGTGTCCTGGAGACAACATGCACTTTAACAAAATACAATACCACCACAATGCCCTGTAGACAACAGGCAATTTTAGCTGACATGAAAAACAAGAGAGAATAGCTCAAACAAAGGACCAATATGCAGAGCCTAAAAACTTTTCTGAGGAAGAAAAGATAATGCAAATAACTGGATAAGAATTTAAACAGTGATGGTTAGGTATCTCCAAAGGACTGACAGAAATATCAAGGAAAACAAAGAGAACACAGAAAAAAACTTGAGAAGAGGTCAACACAGGACCTCACTACAAGAAAACACTACAAGAACACATAACATAATGCAAATTTTGAAACAACACAAATCTGCAATTAGAAATCCAGAAGTTTAATCCTAAAATTTCAGAACTACATTGAAAGGGCAAAGGAGGAGATGTGAAGCAATGGAAGTCCAAATGAACAAACCTGAAGATAAATCTTTCAATACTAGTATGTTGTTGTTGTTGTTAAGTGCCGTTGAGTCGATTCTGACCTATAGCAACCCTGTATAAGGTTTCCAAGGAGCAACTGGTGAGCTTGAACCACTGACCCTGCAGTTCTAACGGCTTTGAAGTTTGAAGCATTAGCCCACAGCGCCACACCAGGACTCAATTAGTATGCTAGAAGATCAATAATAATAATAATAATAAAAATTAATGAAAAATTCCAAAGCAAGTCTAAGAGTTATGTGGAACACTATGAAGAGGAATAATTTTTGGGTGACTGGAACTGAAAAATAGGAAGAGACAACAAAAAACACACACAAAAAATGCTGAAGAGTTGTTGGAAGAAAACTTCTCCAGCATAATGAAAGAAACGCATACAAGAAGCTGAAAGAACCCCAAACAGGATAGATCCCAAAAGAAAATCACCAAGACAAATCATAATGAAACTTTCCAAAACCCCTGAGAGTAGCTCAGAAAAAAAACAAAAGTTACCTACAAAGGAAAATCCGCAAGACTAAGTTTTGATGTCTCACCACAAACCATGCAGGCAAGAAGGCAATGGGTCGATATATACAAAGCTCTAAAAGAAAAAAAATTGCTAACCAAGAATCATATATCCAACAAAGCTGTCCCTTACATATAATGAGGTGAAGTTAGAACAACTTCCAGATGAACAAAAATTAAAGGAATTTGTAAAAACCAGACCAACTTTACAAAAAATACTAAAAGGTGTTCTTTGAACTGAGAGCCAACAACAGCCTGAGTAATCACACGTGACAATCATACATACATGACACCCACCCAGAACTCAATCCAGACGTAAAAACATTTAAAGTAAAACAAACTTTGTTGTTAAGTTGTTAAGTGCCATCGAGTCGGTTCCGATCCATAGTGACCCTGAACAGGGTTTCCGAGGCTGTAAATCTTTAAGGGAGCAGAAAGCCTCATCTTTCTCCTGCGGAGCAGCTGGTAGTTTCAAACTGCTGACCTTGCGGTTCACAGCCCGATTCGCAACCACTATGCTACCACAAGACAAAAAATAGGGAACTAGAGATATCAATTTATAATGAAGTCAACTACAAAGCAAAAAGCGGGGGAAGAGGTGTAAATACAGAATTTCCAAATGGAGAGGCAGTCAAGTAGATTTCAAGATAAAACAGACTGCTTTAAAAATCGGGATGAGGGATGACAGAGAGGGAGGTACAATAAAGTACAGAACAACCTCAAAGAAAATATACTTTCACATCAAACTAAAAAAGAGAAAAATTCATTCAGATTTAGTAAACATTAACACAACAAGAGTGAAAATGAAAAGAAAATCTAAAACCAAAATGAAATCTGTGCAGAAAATTATGTACAACAAAGAAACCAGCTGCACCACACACACACAAACAGCAAAATTATAGCAATCAATTCATACCTATCAATAATTACATTCAAATGCAAATCAACAGAAGAAGGGTTAAATAAACTTTGGTGCACATGTTATGCCCAGAATTCGGGGTCCCCAAAGACCACCCAAGAGCCGTGTACCGATGTAAATACATAAGGGTAGTTTATTCAAGCCGGAGCGAGAGCCAGGTCTCTAACCGTATCCAACTCAGCAGAATAGGGAAAGAGTCTCGAACTTATTGTCTGCAGGGTTTTTATAGAGTTTTCAAACAGCTCAGGTTTCTCAGCTTTATAATCTTTGAATTGGTTAACAATTGGCAAAGTATGAGATGTTACAGTTTAATTGGTCAGGACTGGTGGTCTTTATTCTTAGGCTAGGGTAAAGGAAAACATCTGGCATTTGGCCTTGGGTCTTGTCTATTCTTTATCTAGTTCCCACTGTTGCTAGGGGTGAAAGGATATTGTAAGGCAGCATGAGCTGATTTAGCACGTTTCTGGAACAGGAGGACGTGTTCAGGCTAATGTACAGAACGGAGATTGACCTCGTCTCTGGAGGGAACTAAAAACTGAGGCCTTGTCTATTTAAAATGCTTTTCTGAGCCTGACTAGAGTTTAGTCAAGCAGTCTCTAGGTAGGCAAAATCAGGTAAAATCAGTTAGGTCCTTACATACATACATACATACACACACACACACACACACACACACACACACGAATAGCGAGCAACGCTGAAATATAATAAGGAATCTGCAAAACACCTCAAAGCATGGATGACCCTGGAGGGCATTATGCTGAGTGAAATTAGTTCCTCATTAAAGGACAAACATTTTATGAGACCACTGTCACTTCATAATAAAAAGGTTAAAATTAAGAAAACAAAAATTCACTATCACACTAAGTAAAAAATGCATCTTCCAGAGAACTCTATTCACCATGCAAATTAAAACCACCACCCATTGCCACTGAGTTGGTTCCCATTCACAGAGAGGGAGACACTGTAGAAGAGACTAGAATTGCCCCACAGGCCTTCCTGAGCTGTAATCGTTACAGCAGACTGCCTCACCGTGATCCCAGAGTTGCCAGTGGGTTTGAATAGAGGTCTTTCTGATTAGCATTCTAGCACTTATCTACTACATTACCAGGGCTCCTTTTACGCATATATATTCTCTATGTTGTTGTTATGTGCCATCGAGTCGATTCTGATTCATAGATTCTATATGGGGTTTCCGAGGAGCGGCTGGTGAGTTTGAACCGCTGATCTTGCACTTCAAACTGACCTTGCAGTCCAGCACCTTAATCCACAGCACCACAACACCAGGACTCCATATTCTCTATATATGCCTTTAAATGAAATCACAACTTACATAGTGTTATGTAACCTAGTTTTTTGTTATTTTGGCTTGAGAGCTTTTTAACAACAGAATTTTTAATAGCTATTATAATGACTCAGTGTGTTTAAGCAATCCTTAAATTGCTGAATATTTAAGTTGTTTACAGAGTCCTCTTTAAGTTAAGTGTTTCTGGACAACCTTCATTCTTTTCATAAGCCAAATCCCTAGAAGTGGAATCACTGAATCCAAGAGCTAAAAACTCTATCAACAAGCCCTATGTTTACTTCAGTCTGTGTCTACTAAATCAATTTGTCCCTCAACTTTTTATTTTGAAAGTTTTAAGTCCACAAACGCGTCATTTCTAACTTTGCTTTATTGTTATCTATTTTATCTTATCTATCCATCTACATACTTACCTATCAACTTTATCTACCTACTTACCTGCCTACCTACCTACCTAGGCAGCCTGGGTAACTTAGTGAATTACAAGTTTTGCAGCTAACTACACCAGCTGCTCCGCGGGAGAAAGATGAGGTTTTCTGCTCCTGTAAAGATTTATAGCCTCGGAAACCCTGTTCAGGGTTGCTATGGGTCGGAACTGACTCAACAGCACTTAACAACAACAAGGTCAGAAGTGCAAATCTACCAGCTACTCCTTGAGAGAAAGATTAGGTTTTCTGCTCCCATAAAGACATAAAGGAGCTCTGATAGTGTAGTGGTTACGAATGGGGCTGTGAACCTCAAGGTCAGCAGTTCAAAACTACCAGCGGTTCACACGAGAAAGATGAGGCTTTCTGCTCCTGTAAAGATTTACAGCCTCGGAAACCCAGTATAGAGTCGCTATGGGTCGGAGTCGACTCGACAGCACTTAACAATAACAACAAAGACTTACAGTCTCGGAAAAACTATACAGCAGCCATGGGGAACCTTTATTCTGCCAAGGGCTATTTGGATATTTATAACATCATTCGCGGTACTGGTGGTGGTTATATGCCGTAGAGTCGGTTCCGACTCACAGCGACACTGCATAGAGTTTCCACAGCTGTAAATCTTTACGGGAGCAGAAAGCCTCATCTTTCTCCAGCAGAATGGCTGGCAGTTTCAAACTCCTGACCTTGAGGTTAGCAGCCCGACTGGTAGTCAGAGCTCCTTACATCATTTGCCAGCCATACAAAATTATCAACTTAAAAATAAGGCTGCTAACTGATGATATGCCCTGTAAACTTTCACTCAATCCACAATAAAAACCTTAAAAAAAGAAATAAGGCTGCTACATTTGATCAAATATTTAATTAACCCAACCCTAATGTGATGGCCCTGATGTGGCACTGTGGGTTAATGCGTCAGACTGCAAAGCCATTTAACTGCAAGGTCGGTGGTTCAATCTCACCAGCTGTTCCTCAGAAATTCTATACAGGGTCGCTAAAGGTCAGAACCGACTAGACAGCACTTAATGTCAACAATGTGACAGTCAGTCTGAGTCATAATCAACTCAACGGCACTTAACAACAACAACATGATGACTGGAACTGCAGTTGCCTTGACAGGGCCAGACCAAATGATTCTGTGGGCCTTATATGGCCCGCTGGTCGGACGTTCCCCACCCCTGCTATGCAGGGTCACTATGCGCTGGAACCGACTAGTTGGCACACCACCACCACCTACCTATCTACATCTGTCTGTCTATGTGCCCACCTATCGATCCATATTTTTATCTCTGTGCCACTGAAGCACGAGAGAAAGGAGAGGCTGGCTGCTCCCATAAAGATTTTGCCTCGGCAGCCCTAAGGAATGTTTCTACTTTATCCTATAAGGTTGCTACGAGTCAGGATCGACTCGGTTGGATTTTACCATCTGAAGGTAAATTATAGATACCTTCGGAGCCCCTTTTTTTTTTTCCTTCTCACTTCCCCATAATAGGTGTCTTTGGGAAAAATCGAAACAGCTCCATCTGGCTGAGAGTGGTGGACCGGGAGCCGAAACCTCTGAAAATTCTGCCATATCTCTAAACAAACACAAAGAGAATTTCAGGAACTTCTCCGAAAGCTTTCGTCCAATCCACCCCCTTGTAGAAGAGGTTTCTATCGAACCCTTTGCCATTGGGCTCCTATGACTTAACGCTGCACCCGTCATGGTGGACGACGCACTGGGTCAGGTGGTCAGGAGATCTGAATTCCTGGCCTACCAGCTATGCCACTGAGCTAGGTGAACCCCTGGGTTTCAGACTCCTCTGCAAAATGCAGAAAACATTTGTTTCCACAGCACTACCGCAAAGATGACAAATCTCAGGGAAGAAGATCAGAAAAGCCTCGGCTCCACTTGGGCAAATAACTGATGTACCTGAAGTCTCTGTTGGTGACAGGAAAAATGTCAATGGCAAAGGGTTTTACTGTCACCTCCCGAGCAGGCCCTTCACCATCTCTGCCATCGGGAGAATTTGTTCCCATCTCAAACCTTCCACCTGGCAGCTGGACCATGCCGGCAATTTGTCCATTTCCTGCAGAGACAAAGGAGTCATAGGTAAGACAAACAGCAAAAGGTGCACCTTATGAAATACTTCTGACAGTATAATGAGAACACAACGAAGGCTTAAACATCTGAGTTTAGATCTGGATTTAAATTTGAATGAAATGTCACTTATTTAGCTAGGCAATGATTTCATCTGAGTTTCAATTTCTTCATTTATGAAATGGAGATAACATTTAACTATTTCATAGGTAGTGACCGAATGAATTCAAAGAGCATGTGTGAAGCACAGGGAACAAAGCAGATTCCCACCAAACTGTACTTGTCTTTCCTTAGCTTTTTGCTCTTACGTAAACACACTTTGTCCCAGCTGGTAAACGTAGGCGTCACATACTTGATAATCATCTAGCACTTTTCCTTCTGAACTTCTGCCCATTCTATTGCTCCATCTCTCCCTCACTATGTGCTATAATTCATATAGATTTTTAGTAACTCTCATCATTACTGTATTTTTTGCATAAATGGGGCTACTAAAAGTGTGTGGGCATATGGAATTAACATAATGAACTTTTGGAAGCCCCCTCATATAATGCACCCATGGAAATAATGGAGCACACATATAACATGCAGAAAGCACATAGGAAACATGTGTGAGGGGGTTGAATGGCTTGCACAAACATGGGTATTATTTGCATAAAAATGTTTTATGATCCTGAAGGGCAGAGACAATGGGTTTGCATGTTTCCCTCCCTAGTACAATGTTGTTTTTTGCCAAGTACCATAGAGTCAGTTCCGACTCATCAGCCCCTTATACGGTCTCTGAGAATTTTTAAATGAGCTTCTTTATTCTTGCCTTTTATGCCTTGGAAAACCACAGAATTAAAAGGATCAAGATTTACAAAGGAAAATCACAAGTCAGCAGGACACAAAAGCAGATCCAAGTCTCTTCTATCTAACTCAGCGCGTTTCCCACTATGCCACACATCTCTTAGGTATGTTTCCAGTTCTGTAAGTCCCTCAAAGGAAGTCCAAGTCTTGGATGTTCCTCAGCTTCTCTTCAGCCCTCTTAAACAATGAGGTCAATACAGGAAGGACTGAGGATGGTCCAGGACCCCACAGTGTTTCCTTCTGTTGTACACAGGGTCAGTGTGAATCTGAATAGACTCAGAACACCACTAGCAACCTCTCCTCTCAGTCTGACATACACACACACACACACACACACAGACTTGTTTCTTCAACAAATACTTGACAATTGCAAAGAAAAAACAGGGAAGTAAGGATGGTGAGGAGTCCTAGTGTGGCACTGTGGGTTAATACACCAGACTGCAAAGTCGTTTGAACTGCAAGGTTGGTGGTTCAAGCTCACCAGCCGCTCCTCAGAAACCCCATCCAGGGTCACTATGTGTCAGGGCTGATTCAATGTCACTTAGCAACAACAACGAGCATGGTGAGGAATCCTTGTGTGGTGCTATAGAATAAGCAGTAGACTACTGATTGCAACGTCAATGGTTCAAACCAACCAGCCATTGCACGGAAACTCTACACATGGGTGTAATAAGTCAAAACCAACTCGACAGCAGTTGAGAACAAGAATAAGTGAAGGTGCCCTAGTGGCTAAGTGGGTTATGTGTTCTGCTAACCCTAAGATCAGCAGTTCAAATACACCAGCCCCTCTGAGGGCAGACATGTGCTATGGATTCGGTTCAGACCCATAGCAACCCTGCATAGGTTGTCTGAGGCTGTAAATATTTACGGGAGCAGAAAGCCTCATCGTTCTCTGGCACTATATATGAACTTTTGATCCTGATTCAACAACTAAGATTTTAAAACATATATGCGATAATGGTGTAGAAACTGACTCAAGGGCACTTAAGATAATTGGGGGGGAGGGGTGATTTAAATACTGACTGGATGTTTATCACTGTTGTTGTTGTTACTTGCAGTGGAGTTGGTTCCAACTCACAGTGACCCTGTACAGGGTTTCCAAGGCTGTAAGTCTTTGTGGGAGCAGAAAGCCTCATCTTTCTCCCACGGAACAGCTGGTAGTTTCGAACTGCTGATCGTGAGACTGGCAACCCAATTCGTAACCACTACCCTTACCAGAGCTCCTTGGATGTTTATCATTAGGGAGCACTATTAACATTAAGGAGCCTATTAACTTTTGGGGAGTTGTGGTGTGGCGCTGTGGGTTAATGCTCCAGACCACAAAGCTGTCTGAACTGCAAGGTCAGCAGTTCAAGCTCACCAGCTGCTCCTCGGAAACCCTATACAGGGTTGCTATAGGTCGGAACCGACTCCACAGCACTTAACAACAAGAACATTAACATTTTGGAGTCCTGGTGTGACACTGTAGGATAAGCACAGGATTGCAAGGTCAGTTTGGACCACAAGTTTGGCAGTTCAAACGCACCAGTCACTCCTTGGAAACTATACTGGGTCATTATGAGTAGGAACCAACTTGATGGCACTTAAAAAGAGCAAGTTAACATTTTAGATGGGAAAATGACCATTGTTTCTTCAAGGGTCTGGTACATTTAAGAATAAAATGACATAATGCCTAGATTCATTTAAAAATGATTACAACAATAAATGCTGGTGAGGATGCGGAGAGACTGGGACCCTCCTACATTGCTGGTGGGATTGCAAAATGGTCCAACCACTCTGGAAAATATGGCACTTCCTCAGAAAGTTGGATATAGAAATACCTTATGATCCAGCAATTCCCCTACTTCGTATTCATCCACAAGAAATACGAGCCATAACATATGCACACCAATGTTCATAGCAGCACTATTTACAAAAGCAAAAAGGTGGACACAGCCTAAGTGCCCATCATTGGAAGAATGGATAAACAAACTTTGGTACATACACACAATGGAATATTATGCTACCTTGAAAAATAACAAGGAAGCTACAAGCTACCCCGTAACATGTATGAAGCTTGAGGACATTATGCTCAGTAAAATTAGTCACAAAAGGAGAACTCCTGCCTAGGACCATTATTGTAAAAGCTTAAAGTACCCACACTAATAGGGGAGAAAACATTTTTTTTTTTGTTATTGGTTACCCCGGGGTGTAGGGGGTGACACAAGGGGAGGGGCGGGAAGATAGAGCACAAGGTAGGGAATAGACACAGGGTAATTTGGGTGCTGGGGCAATACAAAAGAAGTGGGAGGGAAATGGAACAAGGCAGTTGGGAGAACATTTAGGCAGGTTTGCATAGGCTAAGCAGGGCAGAGGTTAAAAAAAAAAAAAAAAAAGATTCCTCCGGGAGCGAGAAAAGTGGGAAGAATGCGGAAAAACAAGACTGGTCATAAACTGGTTAATTATAGTGGGCAGGAGAGGGGAAGTTGAAAGGAAAAAGGTTTGTCTTCTACTTTCTTATGAGGCTTTCTGCTTCCGCAGATTTAAAGCCTCGGAAACCCTATACTGGGTCGCTGTGAGTCGAGACCGACTCGATGGCACTTAACAACAAATGCTGAGATTAAAAATTAATTGAAAAAAAGGAAAACAAGAAGAGCGGTAACGGCTATTGTTGTTAACCAAGTTCCCTCCCCGCCCGGGTAGGTGACCGCGGTCTCCTCTTCCGAACGCCCCTCGCCTTCCCCAGGAGATGGCCGGGTCAGCAGCGCACTGACCTGGCTGAAGCCACGTGGAGAACAGCAAGGAGAGGAGCGCCTGCAAGGTGCCCATGCTATCACAAGGTACCGGAAGCACAACCAGCCGCCACGCAACGCTACGACTGGGCCCGCCCCTCACACACCACGCCTGCGTCCCACGCACGCATGCGCACTGAGCTCTTTCGCATTAAAATTAAGAGGAAGATTACTAAACAAAGTAGGCTTGTTACCTGGTGCCAAGTCAATTTCGACTGATAGCAACCTCGTATAGCGTTTTTGAGATTTTTAAATGTTTGCGCTAGCAGATACTCCCAATAAAGTAGCCAGGCATCCATTTACTTGTATGAAATTAGACTGTTATATACAATCCGACATTGGTTCAGAACTTGTTCACCAGAGGGTCTGTCTCCCAGGATTTAACAGGCACATGCTGATCGCCGCCATTGAACACGCCATTTACTCTTTATATAAATTGGTGTTTCCCCTGCGTGTGGGCATTACACCATTGCCAGACCACAGAAAAGGTTTTAACTAAATGTTTATTGCACACTCACTGGTGGTAGGTAAGTCTTTGAACGACAAAGCTTAGTAACACATAACTTCAAATAAAGAAATACAACTACAAAGGATCAATTTTGTGGAAACAGGCTATCCAACAGTAATTTGGATCAGAAAATGTTGACACTGCAGGGTTTGGGATGAACATTTTAGCATAAGCATTAACACAGAGGCATGAAAACATGGTCGGCCCCAATGTTCAAACACCCTCCAATCCCTATCTCAATGCCTGTCATCTTAGCTGTTCCTGAAAGCACAAACAGCACTTTTTTTGGGGGTGGGGTGGGTGTTCGGAGAGATGGACGAGGACCAAATTTTAGCAAAGGTGTTTCAAAGGTGTGGAAAAACAAATGGAGACAATCAATCTCATAGGAATCTATACTAAGGAAATAAAGAGATGCTTTCAAAAACTTGTTACTTAGGTGCTTATATTAGAAAAAGGTAAAACTTAAATCCTTTATTACAGAACTGTTAGATAAACAAATATATCTATAAAAAATTACACCATTAAAACCGGTTTTTGAAGGATTATTTATTAACAAGATAGATAGCATGCTTATTATTTAACATGGACTTTTAGGCCACCGCAGCTAAAGGAAAACCACCCATTCAGTGGGTAACAGGACTTGCGCTTCAGTGCAATTGAAAAATACTGTAATTATAATCTCAAACTTCAGAATTTGAATAGATGACAGTGATCTGAGCAGAAAAGAATCATTCAAAGCTTCAACAAAAAATTCCACCACTCTGTTCCTCAGATCCCTCTAGTCTTCACAGCTCGTATGATATGAGGCAGGCTTCAAATCAACCTTTTAGAGAGGACATCCCAGCTCGCATGATCTCATCAACCAGGAGAATGTTGGTAGCAATTACAGTGCTGAAAAAGCGGAAATCAGATGGCTCAAATTTGAGAGAACCAAAAACCCAAACCCAATGCTAGCAAGTTAACTCATAGCAACCCTGTAAAACAGAGAATAGATCCAAAACTCATAAATCTTTATGAAAGCTGTCTCATCTTTCTCCCACAAAGTGGCCTGGTGGGTTCAAACTGATGACTTTCTGGTTAGTAGCCCAATGCTTAACTAACTGTGCCACCACAGCTATCAGGTTTGTTATACCAATTCTAATCCAACTCAACTTCCCCCACATACTTACATCCAATTTCACTTCCCTTACCCATTCCACATACCAAGGAGGCCAGTTTACTTTTTATACTTTCAGTCTACACTTTTTTATTAGGGGGAGGGAATGACTAAAACAGGACAGAACCCCAAGTTTATATAGTTTTGGCTTCCCTAAACTTACCAGGAATGAAGAAGCTGTTTCTTTACACAATAGTTATCCCATATGCCTGCTTCTGCTGACACCATTGGTTCACCTGAAAAGCCATTGAGTCTTATTAAGACCATTGAGTCATGATCTGAATGTGGTTTTGCTCACTGCTGATCACTCAATTATTAACTGTGGGAATCTCAGAGTCCTATCAGTCCCATTTGTATAATTTGTATTATTACATGAGCCAAAGTTGGAGCTTTAAATTGATCTGGTAAAATTTCATTAGACTTGGTCTCATGGTTCATTGTTACTTGCTATGTGCAGATTTTTCCACCCAGGCATGTGATCACCTAATGTAATTACTCATCCATATGAAAACCCTTCAGCAGTTAAGTAGTACTGTAAACCACCCACCACCACCCAGTAATACCCCGAACAAATGTGTATGCTTTGAAATTATTCAAATACCAATTCTCTTAATTGTGACATCTAGCCATCCATTTTTATGTATCATATTTGATCCTATTTGGAACTCGGTGTTTCCTGAAACACTGATAATACTGGTGTCAGCTGCAAAACCCCTCGACAAGATTCTGTTGTTCCCATTCTTGACTGTTTCTGACTTTACCTCAACTGTACTATGTAATTCTTCCATTCCAAGTCACTGGACGACCTTACCTGTGTTCAAGTTGACACCCACAAGTTGACCCGATTCAGAATGTTCTGCTCTAACTTTCACTAGTGTTTCCTGAAGGTCAAAACCCGAGTTCTGCGCAAGAACCTATAGTAAACAAATTTAAATTCTTCAGAAGACATGACAGAAGAACCGCAGGCACGGCCAAGTCTATATTAAATCAACAGTGCTCCCAATTAATTACAACAGATTAGGAAGTGAAAAACAGAACCACTATGTTCACTTCAGAGAACAGCTAGACTTACACAACATTGATCAAGTGTTGAACCACTCTAAACTTAGCAACACACACCAATGTTATTGTTAAATGCCGCTGAGTGGGTTCTGACCCATAGCAACCCTATATAGGGTTTCCAAGGAATTAGCTCGCTGGTGAGCTTGAACTGCTGACCTTGCAGTCCACCAGCACATTAACTGTAGAGCCACACCAGGTCTCCAATACAGCAAAAGGGCCTCCAAATAATATAATATAAAATATTGGTACTCATCATAATGTAAGTGAAACAAATCAAAACAAAAAATAAGTTTGTATTTGAATATTAACCCTATTCACTGCTAAGTCCTCTAAAAATACAGTTGGTCTTTTGTCCTTCAGAGAGGAAAGCCAGCTTTCCAGTGGAATCAAATACATTTGGATGGTTAGGGATACCAGGTCTGCTGTCAGGGAGAAAACCCTCCATGTGTATCCAAAATCCACACCATGGTAAAGTTTACAAAATTGACTGTTTCAGTATTCATACCTTGGGGATAATGAGCAACGCATCAGCAAATGCTTGGACTCCCAGTTGGGCCCTGCCCTTGACGCTGGATTTGTGTTTCATCAGAGCCTCTGCCATCGCCACTTCCACGGCACCAGCCCCAGGAACTACACAGCCTGTTCCAAGGGGGAGAAGAGAAATGCTTGAGCTACACAGAAAACTGCAGAATCCATCTTAAGAATGAAGAACTAGAGAAACTGAAGCACACACATGAAAGTCATAACTGAGAACTCACTAGAGCCACAGCCATTTAAATACAACATGTGGAAGCCGTAGTGACTTCAAAAAGATTGTGGAAAAATGCAATTTAGATCATGGAATTTCCCCACAGTACTTTTGAAACCCCCTTGTACAAGCAACTAGCATATAAAATAGCAAACTAGTTCAATTTAAGTAGCATAGAATAGCTCCAAAAAGCAATTAATTACTATTTCACTGATTTGTATTCACCTTTGATAGCAGTATGCCAAGAAAAAACTTGGCATACATCAACATTTCAAAGTGAAGATGATACTTTGGCATGGTGTCTGGCTGTGTAAATTACTGATTAAAAAAACACAGTATTCAGCCATGCCTTTAGATTAGCAGAAAAGATCCAATTTTTAAAGGGCACTGGATTTTCCTGTGCATGGCATATAAGAGATTTTACAATCAGAACACAGTGAGGGGCTTACCATCATCGATAGCATTTTTGACAGCCCTCAAACCATCTCGTATTGCATCTTTGATTTGAGTGAGTGTGTGCTTATTTGGTCCTTTGATCAAGAGTGTGACAGAGCGTGGGTTATTGCACTTCTCAATAAAGGTGAACTTCTCTTCTCCCTGTATGGAGAAGAGATGGCATTTCAATCAGACCTTAGCTGTTAAGTAAGAGTATTAACAGAACAACCCAGACCACGCATAACCAGATGTTTTACGAAGTCACGTATATGGTTTTCCTGCCAATAAGCATTACTACAAATTACTACCCATCAAAAGGTGTGTTGTTGTGAAGCGCCGTCAAGTTGGTTCCAACCCATAACCACCATGTACAGGGTTTCGGAGGAGTGGCTGGTGAGCCTGAACTGCCGACCTTGCAGTTCAAACAGCTTTGCAGTCTTGGCGCATTAACCCAGAGCCACACCAGGACTCCAAGAGGTGTGTAAACAGAGCAAAAATCCAACTGAGTTTGAATGAACGGCACTAGTGAGGAATTAATGATTAGAAAATACACTTACCAAGGTGTACTCAAAAACCAGTCCTGCGTGTCCCAAACAGTCAGGATTTAGGTCATCTAAAGAATTTAGAGCCACCCCGCCACAGGCAAGTGTCAGCCTGAAAATTTAAAGTTGTAACAGAGACACGTTAAGCAGCTGCAACAGTTTGTTCAGAGAGATTTAGGGAGGTGGGGAGAGTAATTCTATTCTACATTAAATAGAATGCTATTTTATAATCCTTAATACAATTATAAACACTAACACAATCTAGTGTTCTAAAAAGTTCATTCCACACTTGTAACTCCACGGCAGACCGACCAGGCACTCCACCAGCTGACGCCTACGGAAGTCATGAGCCTCCGCATCAAAACCTGCCCAGCTCAAGTCAGCAGGGGCTCTTCTGATCAGAACCCAAATCACTACGTGTATATATGCTTCATTTCATGCACTTTGATCTTTGAGGAAAAAAGTGATCTTCTTTTTACAAAGTCACTCTGGACCCAGCCCTGACTGCAGGTGTTTCATGTTGGCCTCCAGCAAGTCTGAAACAATGACTACCATGAAGATGACAACGACCTTCCTGGTGATTAACTCTTTGGGCAAAAGCATTTCTCTGAAGCCCCTTGATGCCAGTCTCTTGACTAAAAGATGTACAGATTGTGTCAGACTTTAAGATAACAAGTAATCTAGGATCAACACTGGAACGCTAACCTCTAGGCCGGCAGTTCAAACCCACTAGCTGATCCTTAGAAACCCAATACAGGGTCCCTGTGAGTCATAACCGACTTGTTGGCCATAATAGCAGTTAACAGACACCCTGATACCCTCACCTCTCCATGTTTCTCCGTTTCGCTCTGCGCAGAGCCACTATGCCTTCCTTTGCAAGGGCGTCTAAGGAAAATGGGTCAATTCCCTGCAGCAAAAACAAAGTTAGTCTCACTACCTTGCACCTCACAAACACACAAAAAAAGTGCTAAAAACTATTTAGCTGATGAAATGCATTTTCATTCTCACTCACCTTTTGATTAATAACAACAAATCCTTTATTGGAATCACCACAGACTTTCTTTTTCAGTTCCACTATTTTTTTAACTCTATCTTCGATGAATTTTCTTTCTGCTTTTACAAGTTTCTCTCTCTCTTCAGCACTCTTGTAAAAGAAGCCAGAGTTCACTTCTCTATTTAAAAAAAAAAAGGAGGGGTCACTCAACTGAAAAGATGTTCTGACATGTTAATGAACCTTAAAAACATGCAGACTAAAACCAGACACAAAAAGGACAAACACAGTCTGATCCAACCTACATGAAAGAGCTAGAATACACAGATGCCAAGAGGCAGAGTGGATACCAGGGGCAGGGCAGGGGTTTATGAGGAGCCACTGCTTCAAGTTTCTGTTTGGTGGGCTGAAAAACTTTTAGAAAAGAAAGCTGGTGTTGGTTGCGCACTAGGGTAAGTAGAGTGAATGCCACGAAGCAGACCCTTAAAAACGGAGAAAAGACCAGTTTTTGTTTAATGTCTATTTTGCCACAATAAAATGTTTTAAAAATAAATGATACAATAGGGGGAAAGGGTCAACAATTTTTCTGAGTGAACTATATGGCAGCAGACATAGAAAGTGGCTCGTCTTGGGATGTCACAAGAAGTCCCTGAGTTTCAATCCTTTCCTGGACATTTTCAGGGATAATTTCCAATAACCCTCTCACACCAAAGCTCAGGATTACTCTGCTGACACTATGGGAAACTAAGTCTCACTGAGAAGTAATCTGCACACTACTAAGCACCTCCACCTCCCTCACCCATTCTTGGGGTTACCCACTCACGTTTTTTCATATTCTAAAGACACGTTGCATGTGAGGATATACGCATCTTCCACTCTTTTCTTCATATCAGGATGCCGTGCCCCATGGTCCAGAACGAGTCCTCTGATTAGGCTGTTAAAACACATTTCAAAACAAAGTACTGTTACCAAGTTCCCGGTGGGGTGTAACACTGAACTGAGACTGGATTCCCAAATGCCACACAATCAGCTTTACTTCGTCAATTATCTGAACAGAATCTGCGTAGGTTCCGTGGAGAAATTTGAGTATGTTTGAAACATGAAAAACCATAATATTCTAGATCACAAATTAAAATAACCAAATAACCACCTTTCAAAGTACAGAAAATTCTACAGTGAAAATGTCTGAACTGGTAGCTATCGCACTGTAATCATTTTTTTAGAAGAACTATTCAAACTATATCCTTCGAAAAACAAAATTTTAATTCCCAACTATCTCCCATTGTGATTTGACCCAAGCAGTTGCATAAATGACCAGTGGCTGAAACACCTTTCTAAAATGATCCAACCAGCCATTCCACAGGAGAAAGATGAGGCTCTCTGCTCCTGTAAAGATTTACAGCCTTGGAAACCCTGTACAGGGTTGCTGAGTTGGAACCGACTCCACAGCATGTAACCACCACCACCAACCTCTCATTTCAAGAGAGTATCTTACTGAGTAACATGACCCACTGATGCATGAAATACTTATGCATTTTTAAATATTCTTATCAGTTCTTGCATCGTTTTCCATCACCTACCTTGTATCAGTTTCAGATTTATGCTTCATTTCCATGATTTCAACCATGAAAAGATCAATGGGTTCATCTTGCTTTTTAATGGCCAAAATGGAGTCAACTACAGCCTATGAGAGAATTATTATTAAATAAATCTGATTCCAAAGTTTAAAGAAATTTAACATGTCTGAATTGATACAAGTCTTTGTCTAAGTCCTAGCAATATGCTGTCTGTAAAGGCTGAAAGCACAGTTCCAAAATCTAATAATCTCTAAAGTATCATGGATACTTCCAGATCCCGTTATTAGATTATTAAGAAGATTGATAACAAAAAGTATTTTAATAATTAAATCTCCCTTTTTGTCTTTTTAATGATGACGCCAATGAGACTTTTATAACCTGGTCAGGTAGCCTATTATTATTTTATTTTCTCGTGTTGTTTGTTAAGAGTCATAGGTTAAGTATCATTGCCACAAAAATCTGTATTTTCATACCTCAAAAAACAAACCTGTTTATAAGCTATGACACTGTATTCAAAATTCACCACATACCTCTGTTAAGACGTCAGCAAGCTGAGCTTGAACTTTAGTATGCAGAGATGTTTTGGCCACATCTATTAGGGTTTCTCTGTCCATCTCTTTGCTTACTTTGATTTGTTCCAAAAACTGAAGTGCCTTTTCCTTTGCAGCTTCAAATCCTTCTGTTATAATTCTGGGATGCAGACCCTATCACAAACACACAGTTAACAAAAGCACCTTCTAACTGGTGTTATTAAGCTGGATGCAATTACATAGCTCATCATGAAGTTCAAATAACTGGTTCTGTCCCACCCTTTAATGTAATTCAACTGTGCTGACCTTTTGAATACATTTAAAAGCGAACATGCCTTTCAATGCAGAGGAAAAGGACAGACATTGTTCTAGCACAGAGTCAAAGCCAAGGGGACTATAAAGCACACTTGGGTGTTCACTGTGCAAACCCCCAGGGATAAAGTCTCAACCCCAAACTATGTCCTAACAATCTGCAGTTAAAGAAAGGAACAGATCTTTTCTATCTCAAACCCAAACCCATTGCCATTAAGTTGTTTTCAACTTACAGCAACCCAATGTAGGGTTTACAAGACTGTAAATCTTCACTGGAGCAGCCTGCCTCATCTTTCTCCCTTGGAGCAGCAAGTGGGTTTGAACTTTGTAGTAAGCAGTATTATAAGGAAATGAAGAATCTGGCTTCTTTCTCTCCCCAGAGAACTCTTTCTGACATCAGATTTGTCCTCACTGACGTTTGCTTACACTTGAAACTACTTAGTCTTTTTTTTTTTAAAGGCTGTGAAATTCTGATTTCAGTTGCAATTTTTGGTTGGCATTTTTCTACCTAGTGCTGCATAATCCACGTCTACATACTTAATCCACTTCTACATACCAATTACTAACTTGTCTGTATTATAAAGACAGAAATAAATTCTACATGATACCAAATTGTTTTGTCATGTTAAGGAAAGTTTCATAACTTGTCTAGGGGTATAATAAATTTGCATCCATCCAGAATGAAGACCCAGCTTCTCAGATTTAAGACCCCTACATTTTACATTCTGTGGTATGGCCATAACTACTATGAACAATTGCATTTCCACTGCTAAAACTCAGACTATTTCCTATCTACAAGGAAGGTCAGCAACATCAGAGTGTCTGTACTTCAGAAATGTAGAGGTCCGCCTGTTTCAGCAGCTCGCCAATGATCAGGACGTTGGAAGTTGTACCATCACCAGTGATGTCATCCTGGGCTGTTGCTACTTTTGCTATTAAGGAGGCTGTTGGGTGTTGAATTTGCTGAAAGTTGAAAGAGAAAAAACCACCTTCAATGACTTTAAAATAAAATAATGAAATACATCTCTAAGTGTTATCTACCTGGTGTGGCGCTGTAGGATCAGCACTGGACTTAAAACCACAAGGCTGGCAGTTCAAACTAACCCTGTGGTCTAGTGCATTATTTTACGGCGCCACACCAGGGCCGTTATGAGTCACAACAGACTCGATGGCACTTAACACCACCACTACCTGAACAAAGTGTCAAAGTGATCAGCTACACATTACTTGGATTAAAAAGTTATCATTAGATATTACTGCATCACATCAACCAAACTCAAAACACCTTTAGATACAAGATCTCAAACTGTCTCCACTTTACTAATGAGAAAACAGGAGATTCAGTGACAATTTACTCTTCAGAGTCACAAGTAACAATTTCAAATCCATGCCCAAGTCTAAGGATGCCTTCTGAAATCTCTAGCATTTGACATTGACTAAATTATTTTTTAAAGCCCTCTTAGCAAACACCATCAAGAGATATGAGAGGTTTTGGAAGAGTAGGACTATTTGCCACATCTCCAACATCACTCCACAAAGTCTTGACCTTAAAGATCAAGACTCCTGAAATGCCTCTGGTTTTCATGCTTCCTTTCATTTAGCCTGCTGTCTTCGGAGACATTTTTTTCAAAGAATCTAGGTAGTCATCTTGCAGACTATCTCAACACTTGCGGCAAGGATACTACATAGGTGTCCTAGAACTCGATCACCGCGTAAGGCACATGTCAAAGATCTTTCAGTCCATCATCTTGGAAAACATTATCAAATAGCCACAAAGGGCATCTGAAGAAAAAAATGTGAAAACATATATGGAGTATTAGATAGGACTGCGTGAACATTAAATTTCTTAGGCATATGATATTTGGACTCCTGGTATGGCACTGTGGGTTAACTCACTGGACTGCAAAATTGGTTTCAGCAGTTCAAGCTCACCAGCTGCTCCTCGGAAACACTATATAGGGTCGCTATGGGTCAGAACTGACTTCATTGCACTTAACATGAAAATATTTGGTGAATCTAGATAAAGAGCACATGGGTGTTCACTATAGAATCTTTTCAAAATTTTTTCTAGCTTTGTAGTGCCTTGAAATTTAAGAGAGGAAACACAACTAGGGGCTTCTGATATGGTTTGGCGGTAATGCTTTCTTTGTTAAGGAGGTGGCTTCATGTGCTTAGTTTAAAATCATGCATTTAACTATCAATGCTTTATGCTGTTTCTATTGTATTTCACAATAAAAGGATGAGCCTCAGATCAAAGAATTGCAAATTCTAGAAAATTTCTCTGTAATAACATTTGATGTGTTTTTACAGGCTTTTCTGTGACTGGTCACAAGTTTAAACTAACTATGGATCCACTGGTCCTTGCTAACACAGGTCACCATTTAACCCATAAAAATAGACAAGCTGCACCCTTCCAGGCCAGCTAGTCTTTACTGAGGAGTTTTATGTATGCAGATGGCCTGATATACTCCCATCAAAACCCTCACTTGTATTCTGAATGCAAAGCTCAGGCAAGTCACTTCCCTCTTCTTTTCCAGGCAATTTACACACAAGATGTGTCACTCACTGTTGGTTTTCGTATTTTATAGTAATTTGCTTAATAATACCTTAACTGAGATGATAAATGTCAAAAGAGCAGGGACTCAAATTTAGGTCTGTTGGGCTTACTGTATTATCCTTCCAGTATTATCATTATTACACCCTTTTCTTCTCCTTTCATTGTCTGGGATGCACCTACCTTTAGGAACGGACATTAAAATGTTATGTAACTAAAATGTGCGTGAAACTATTGTACAGGAAACTATTTTGTTCTGTCAACCTTTATCCAAATTATTATTATTATTTTAAATGAACATTTCTCCCTACTAATCAAAAGCACTATAGAAAAATCGAGCCACTTCGTATGTATTAGAGGTCTCTCACCATTTCATGAAGCAGCACATTTCCATCTTTCGTAAGCTTGATGTCTCCAGCACCAGAAACAAGCCTGTGCAAGGGGCAGAAGAATGAATCAGTGTGATTTTAACTTCCCCCCAACCACACCCTTCAACAGCTACCAAAGTAACCGTCCCTTAAACTCTGCGCTTTTTCTAGATTGCAGGGGGACGGGATCCGGGCCATAGAGCTGGATCTCTTTTACTGGTCCACAGGATGGTGCAGAACCCAACCACTCCCTCTGTGAACACGACCCAAGGCCTCGCTAGACCTGGAGCTAGAGGGCGGGGACAGCGGGCACGCGGGCAGCTTTGTTCTCCGCGGAATCAGCACCGACTAGAGGAAATGGCCCAGCACCGACTAGAAGCGGCGGCCACGTGGAGGCTCAGAGGTGCAGGTTTGAGCCCCGGGCCCGTAGTTCTACCGCGGAGCCAGACGCGCGCCCCCAGGCCCGCCCTCCCGCCAGTCCCGGCTCACATCTTCATGGTGCCCTTCGGGCCCAGATTGGTCCTCAGCACGTCCTGCAGCCCCCGGGCCGCGCTAATGTTGACCGCCAGAGCTGCCTGGGCTCGGGCCACCTCGGCCTTGGGGTTCAGGGTCTTCACGGCCGACATGTTGAGGAAGAGACTGAGAAACTGTAAAGAAAATGCTAGGCCGGCTCAGCGTGGACAGGAGGCAAGATCCGGACGCTTCTGGAAAACTCGGCGAGCCCGGCAGGTCCCCAGCGTGCCTGCGCACCGCCACCATTGGGCTACAGCTCTGCCGTGCCCGCTTATTGGGCTTTGAGCGTGTGGTCCCGCCCCCGATTTCCGGTCCGGATATCATTGTGTCCGGGCAGAATGTAGACTCGGCATGCCTGAGCCCACAGGTTCCGGTGTGGCGCTGGCCGGGGACCCATCAGGCTGGGTCCAGACCTGAGGAAGAGGGTGGCAGGCGTGTGGCTGCCCTCCATGAGACTGGGCACGAATGGGAGTGCCCTTTTTTAAAAACAAAAAACTTTTTCTTGTGAATTGGGTGAAGGTTTATAGACAAAATCATCAATTTTACATTCAGCAAATTATACACTTTGTTTCATCTCAAGGATTATAATCCCCTCCTGGTAACATTTATCTTACTTCCTCTCTGTAATTTCCCAATTACATCTTGTATTTCATAAATGAACAAGGCAAAAATACTTCATGTACATTTATGAAATAAAATATATATATTCATTTAAATGTCCAAAGGTCACATTCTACCATCCGGGCTCTTGCCCCCAGGCATACATTCATAGATCCATGGGCCTGGAGCCCATAGCTGCTGTCTCTCCATGCTACCACTTCTACCACCTTCTCTATTGCCACCGCTTTTCTAGGTAGGACTCTCATGCTCTTCCTTTTTGAATTTAATCCTGGAATAGTCTGTTCCTGACATGAAAGATTAACTATTCCTTCCTATTCCACCCCACCCCCGGGTTTAGTTACACATTTTATACAATTACAGTTGTGACGATTGCAATTCATCCTGCTAGCAATTATTCACAATTGAGTCAGAAAATCCCATCACAGTTGTTCCCCACCTCCTTTAATCAGGTCCGTCTGGAAAAGAGGAAAACTATTCAGTGGGGGTTCTACTTTACCCCACTTATTCTGAAACTAAACAAACTACTCATGAAAGCTTGTAAACCAGCCACTTCATGCCTTTATAGCCACGCCCCTCGCCATTTTTGATACTTAGTATCTAAATTTCTCATCCCTATGAACCCAGTCCATTGAGGAAACAAGGTTGGTCCTTGATATGAAAAATACTGCCATTCTGGTTGGCATTTTGAGTCACTGCATTCATAGGCAAGTCTAATTTGTCAGAAAGTAGCAATTTGCACTTGCTCTCAGTATTAATTCCAATTCCAGTCTTCTATTCCAATTCCAGTCTACTAGCCATCCAAGCTAGGTCAAATGGGTACTAGCTGCAAGTTTGGAAGTTCACACAAACACCCGGGAGTGTCCTTTTCCTGGAGGACTCTTGCCATAGGGCATTGCGTGAACATCCTCTTTCCTTTTGCTCATTTTGTCCTCAGTTTCTTTCCCTGGCTTTTATCCCTTCCACCAGACTTTCCTTAAAGACTACCCTGACTTACAATGGGGATCCATTCCTATGACTGTGTTGGAAACCCATTCTGATGTAAGTCGAATGCCTCTTCTTTTTTTTTTTTTAATTTTACTTGTCATTATGAATTGCCTTTAAAAATCTTATCTTTATAGATCTGATCTTTGTCTCTGACGGCTGGAAACATTACATATAAATTTAGATCTATTTTAACACCTATTGTTTGGTGCCATCGAGTCATTTTTGACTTGCTAGGTTCCTGTACACATCAGAAGAAATGCCGACCTTACCATCTAACTGGTTTTTTTGAGACCATTGTTGTAGTCGTTGTATGAATCCATCTCACTGAGGGTCTTACTTGTGTTTGCTGACCCTCTACTTTACCAATCATGATGTCTCTCCTGTTCAAAGTAAGTGAGATGAAGTCTTACAATCCTCACCTCTAAGGAACATTTTGACTATACTTCCAAAACAGTTTCGTTACTTCTGACAGTCCATGGTATATTCCATATTCTTTACCAACACTATAGTTCATAGGCAACAATTCTTCAGTCGTCAAAACTCATTGTCCAGTTTTTGCATGTATATGAAGCGAATGGAAAGTGCCATAGCTTGGGGTCAGGCTCATCTTAGTAATCAAAGTGATATTTTTGCTTTGTAACACTTTAAAGAGGTCTTTTGCAGCAGATTTGCCCAATGCAATACAGTGTTTGATTTGCTAACTGTTGCTGTCATGGGCATTGTTTGTGGATCCAATTAAAAGGAAATCGTTGACAACATCAATCTTTTCTCCATTTATCATGATGTTGCTTATTGGTGCATTTGGGAGGACTTTTGTTTTCTTTACACTGAGGTGTAATCCATACTGAAGGCTGTGTCTTGGATCGTCATCAATAGATAAGTGCTTCGAGTCCTCTTGGCTTTCAGCAAGCAAGGTTGTGTCATCTACATATCACAGATGTTAATAAGTTTTCCTTTAATTCTAACGCTGTGTTCTTTTTCATATAGTTCACCTTCTTGAATTATTTGTTCAGTATACAGATTAATAGTACCGTTAAAGGAAACAACCCTAGTACATACCTTCCCTGCTTTTAAACCATGCAGTATCCCTTTTTTGTTTTTCAAATAGCTGCCTCTTAGTCTGTGAACATACATACATATTAAAAACAAAACAAAACAAAACGAAAAACCACAAATTCTAAAAATGTACTCCTACGATGAAGAAGAATTGGACAATGTTGGCATTTTGTTAGTTGTAATAGTAATTCCGCTTTTGGAAGATTCTCGATCACCTAGTTTATCCCTAGGAATGGGGATGGCAGTTCTGGGCAGAAAATTGATGAGACTGTTTTTTCGTTCATTTTCTGTTTTCTTTCATGTATTTCTTGGTAACACATCACTGCTTCTTGAATCTGCCTGTATGAGAGCTTAAATCGGAGACACTTGGTTTGTGTGCACAGAGCAGTTTAAAAGCATAACCATACTCCATTTTAAACTCTAGAATCCATGTTGAATTTTAAAGCTGCCTTTTCTAACAGCAGCTCCTCTAACCTTGACACTGACCTAACCTTGGTCCTGATCTAACTGGTTACCCTCAAGGAGACATTCTTTTTCTCTGAGGCCTGGCAGGAGCAGAATTTCATAATCTATTCCAAGAGGATCTTTCCACTATGGACAAACCGATGCCAGATATGACCACTTATACTTTTTCTCTGATTCTCTACCAACTATGATGTCCTTCTCCAGGGACTGGTCTCACCTGATATGTCCAAAGTATGAGAGATGAAGTCGTATCATCCTCTCACCTCTAAGGAGCATACTGGCCATAATTCTTCCAATTCTGCTGTGTATACAGGAAGACCTGAGATAGTGCAGGTTCAGTTCCAAGATATTGCAGGGCTGTTGCAATAATGCGGATATAGCAATAGAGTGAACCACACACATATTTCAGTTTCCCAGTGCATGTAAAACTTATTTACACTATATTATCCACAAGGTCAGTTTGAACCACAAGGCCAGTGGTTCAAACCCACCAACCACTCCTCGGAACCCTCTAAAGGGTCGGTATGAGTTGACACCAACTCGATGGCACCTTAACAACCACAACAGTATGAAGTGTGCTAAAGCATTGTGCAAAAGATTGAAATGTTGTGGGGAAAAGTCACTCAAAAGTGAGCAAATGCTATTGGAAAAAAGGCACCAAAAACTTGTCTGATACAGGTTTGCCACAAATCTTCAATTTGTAAACAAAACAAAAAACCACAGCATTTGTGACGCATGATAAAATGAAACACAGTCATACAAGGTATGCCTGTACCGGTATGTAACCTTGGGCAAGTTACTTCATGCTCTGTTTACTAATGGTAAATATGCGTAAGGACGTCTTAGTTAAAATAAGAGAGCATTGTAAATTATTACTACATTCACATGACAGAATCCACTAATACTATATTTCTTTTCTTTATATTCAGGTGTAATCCATACTGAAGGCTGTATTTTTGATCTGCATAAGTAAGTACTTCAAGTCCTCGTCACTTTTAGTAAACAAGGTTGTATCATCTGCATATCACAAGTTGTTAATGAGTCTTCCTCCAATCCTGATGCTGTGTTCTTCTTTATTTAATCCAGTTTCTCAGATTATTTGCTCAGCAAACAGATTGAATAAGTATGGTGAAAGGATACATTCCTAACCCACCCCCTTCCTGATTTAAAACTACACACTATGCTCTTCTTATGTTTCAATGAGTACTTTCAGTCTGTGCACGTTCAACATAAGTACAATGGTATGCTCCAGAATTTTCATTCTTTGTAATGTTATCCATGATTTGTTATGATCCACACAGTCAAATATCTTTGCATAGTCAATAAAACAATAGAACACATCTTTCTAGTGTTCTCTGCATGAAGATCAAAAACCAGCCCACAGTATGGATTACATATTAACATAAAAAGAAAACAAAAATCCTCACAATTTGAGCCATAAACAAAATCATGATAAATGGAGAAAGGATTGAAGTTTACAGGAATTTAATTTTAAATTGGATCCACAATCAATGTTCAAATGTCAAAGAACACCCAAACTTGCAGATAGTACCCATTTGACCTAGCCTAGATGGCTTGAGAAT